ATCATAAAATGAAGAGGTCTGGCTGGTTATTCCAGTTGTTATTAAGGTGGCCTTTAAAGTCACTCTTCTAGCTAAAGATACACAACAGTTCATTTATTTAGCTAAATATTTCAATGAAAGCAAGTAATTTTTTGTGTAGAGATAGTATTGACCAGCAGATTGGATTCTTGTGTGATAATATTATCCGAAATTGAATAAAAATGTGGATTGTAAGAGGATTTGAAGCAGTAGCTTGTATGTTACCCATTTCATGTTCCACTGAATGGGCACAAAACTCTGTAGATGAAGTAAACATGAGGATTAGTGAAGAAATATTGTGGTCATATCAATACAATACTGTGGTCATCTTTCGAAAACTACTGATTTGAATCGAACTGAGACTCATTAAGCCAAGTTAGTATGTGGGTATTTTAAGAGGTGTTGTGATGTAGTCTGCTGAAGTAACTCCAGTGATTTCGTCTTCATCCGTCCACATTCCCCCTTGGCTTTTCTAAAACTTGAAAATTTTTAGAGTTTAATATAGTTTTCTTCTAAAGTAGTCACAATACTTGGAATATACTTCATGTATGAGGGAGTTGACTGTTTAACAGATTGAATCACTTTGAGGATGAAAATGTAGATTAAGAAAGTGGCTGAATCATGTCATGGTGGACAGCAGTAGAAACAGAAACTGTGATTCAGCTAATCAACTTTTAATCACTTAATTTTTATGATAATTTACTTGGTTGTGTGGCTAGCAAAGGGATCCAGGATGTGCTTTTCGTCCTGTGTGAGATTCATCAGTTGAATGAATAAGTAACGAATACTCATTGTACAATAGGTGACTATCGTGTATCAGTGACCTGGTAGATAACACTTTGCCGTTTGAAGCGATGGGCACTGGGTTCGAGTCCCGGTGGCAACAACATCACTCACTCGGGTGCTGGTACTTCCGGTTGACGAGTCCTAAATAGAACGAAACATGAGTCCTGAATTCCACTGTTAGCCGCAACCAAGTCATTTATATCAGTAAATATATCTAAGCATTCGCACAGGAGCCTATCTGTCAACATAGATGGTTCAATTCAATCCAGTATAACAATGAAGAATTAAAAGTATCAACAAAATAATAATTTACCTACTGTAAAAAAAACAATTCGTCGTGGTGTATCATTATAACCTTTTCATTAGGATAGGAAGAGATTTTTAAGAAAATACTAAAGGAGCATATGTAGTCAACATTTTCGCTTGGAAACGTGGATTAAAATGCTGAGAAGGAAAGGTGTAAAGCAAAAATGAAAGAAAACCAGGGCAAATCAAGAAATGTGGAGTAAGTCAGAAGGCCGTGATAAGGTTGGTGACTGCACGTAATCGTTTTGAGTATAATGATCAAGTTGAAGATTATGAATTGGCAATGATTGGAAGACTTTTCAAATTGTAAGAGGACACTGTTTAAATTATGTTGATGAAGATACTTGACAAGATCAGATATCCAGATATGAGAATGTGTTCAAGAATAGAATTGCTACTATGCGAAATTCGGCAACCTACTTGAACTTTGGGCTACTAAATTTATCCATCGTAAAATTTTTCATCAAATTCTTCTCTTTCAATTTGTTTTAATCATTTAAATTTGTCCTTTGAACGCATCATGTACTCTTGTACATTTTTAAACTGTTTCCAACTCTCCCTTTCTCGAATCAATAACAAAGTAGAGGGGAAACAATGTTACCTTATCTGGAAATGAACTTTCCGGTGCAGAATAGTATATCATATTTCTATCCATCAGATTCTTAGCTTGAGTTGCAAATATTTGTACCGTCTAGATGAATCGCCACCGCCAAAATTACGCTTGTATTTCTCTTGATTCTTCATTATCGACTGGACATCCATCTAGAACCAGCTGGCTGCCTTGAATACTGTTATTACTAACATCATACACATACAATAACCATTTCATTTTGAGGGAGTTGTGGAGATTTGGAAATATTTCAAGTTGTTATTCATCAAAGACTGAGGAGTCCCATACTAGGACGTAACGGCTGTCCAGTGCTTCCAGGTTTCCTTTGTTCCTCCAACTGATGTCAGTCTTCGATGGATAACAACTTGAAATAACCATTTCGTTTGAAAGTATTGTTGTGCGAATGAATTTGTTGAAAAATTACATGCTGGCAATTCCATACTGTATCTTTCATATTGTTTGGAATAAAGCGACTATTATTATTATTATTATTATTATTATTATTATTATTATTATTATTATTATTATTATTATTATTATTATTATTATTATTATCTCATTTCGTATAAGAATTGTAAACAAAGTAAGCTAAATGTCTCTAAGTATAATCCATCCAGGTAGAAACAAGTTTTCATTTATTCGTTAATCCTCGCACAAATGTATAATTTGATGAATAACTAAATAAACCAATGAAGTATTTATTAATTTATTTAACAGTACTTTATTAGTGTTATAAAGTGTTAAAATGTTAATTTTTCGTACCTATCATGCAGTCTATTGAATATAATATGTAATTTGCATGTTTGGTTACCAGGTACTGATTGTAATAAGTGAGCATATACATTTATTTATAAGAATAATGTCTATAAAACAATACAAGATAATGCTATGCATTGAAATAAACAAAACTCAACATAACAATAATATACTTTGAAGTGTATGGGAATTTTATTTCCAAGATGCAGAAGTCAGTAGGATCAACCCTGGTGGCTCAGTGGCAGATGAAATCTCTGCATGAACACAAAAGACTCGGTTGACTTTCGACAATTTACGCCACCTCTGGTGCCGCTGTCATATCCGATTGTCTACTAAGGGTCGCGTGAACTGCACAGCAGTCCACTCACTCTGTTCTACTCTATGGCTGTGAAACATGGCCATTGAAGGTGGAAGATGTGAGGTGGCTTCAGGTGTTTGACCACCACCACCAACAACAACAACACCACCACCTTCGTAGTATAGGCCACCGCATTCCATGGTGTCACCACATGAGTAATGCAGAAGTCAGGCGGTGTAGAGTTTTAGGGAGAAGAGGTAAATCAGTTGATCAGGTTGTGAACCTTCATCCATTGAGATGGTTGACTCCGACATGTGTTATGTATGCCTAGTCGCCGATTGCCTCACCACACAATGTTGGTTGAAGTAGGTTGAGGTTGGAGAGAGGCTCGAGGTGGCCAGACTACAACATAACACCAATGTATGAAATCTCTGACTGTTTGTTTGAGCCATGTGTGGTGATGTAGAGTGAGTGGTTGGGGTTGGTGGGAGAAGAGGAAGGGGTTGTTTGAGACTGTAGGTGATGGTGATGGAGATGGTGATGACATGACTGAGAACCCAGTGTTACTGGTGTAGATGTATACACACATTATCCTCATGTTAACGACTCTATCTCGAATCTCACTATTTTCTCATTCTTCCTTTCTCTGATTGAGTGGTTTATATTAGTTTTGACTGAATTTTGTTATTTTCATGTTCCAGTTGACTGTGTTTTTACTTGATGTGGTGATATGATACGAGATGAGATGAGATGAGTTGTGTCAAGTTGTACGGTTACTCAGTGATGCCTTGGTCCTGTGTTGATATTGATGATGGTGATTTCCAAGATGGTATTCACCGCGGAATAAACCATTGAAAACCTGAGAACACCAGACAGTCGCTTCGTTCTCGTATGAGACTGTTCAACAGTACTCACTGATGATCCCACTAGGGATCGAACTCTGAATCTCCAGGTTTCTTGGTGAATGTATCAACCATTTGCCCATTGTGTTGGATTTCAGCGGTTTATAGTCCCCTACTTCTGTCAATTCGTGATATAACTCTGTTGTCCATGAAGGTTTTGATTTAATATCCGCCTGATTTCCAACTTCTTTGTCCCACAAGTGAAGGCTTCCAACTAGAACTTCCTTATATCCATCTGGAAGCATGTCACAGGTGCGTGCTGCTGAGGAGTTGCATAATATGACGAAACAGCTGTCCAATGTTTCCAGGTTTTCAATGGTTCCCTGAGGGATATCATTCCATGATGAAAACTCTCTTAAAAATTCAAGCAGTTGAGATTGGTTTTCAAGGGTTGTATTTTGTTAACTCAGAAAACTTATATGTGGAAAAAAACTAATGACTTATGATATAGCTGAAAATCGGCTGAAAGGTGTTTTGATGTTGTTATTGATCATATGGGTTGTAGGCAATTGATAACCGGTTAGAAAAATGAAACTGTTTGTTGTCGGATGTGTCAACTAGATGTAGTTATAACTTTAAAAAAACTCTCGAGTCTCAAGGTCTTATCATTCTACTGTAGCAGTCTGAAAAACTACCACAAAAAGCCATAAATAGCTCAGTAACAACACTTACGACTCCTTGGATAAACAGTATATCGCTAAGTCGATGAGAATGAACGAGATTTCCTGGGATAGAAAGCTGTCACATAAACTTAAGGTAGTTCTATCACGGTGAGACTTAACCTATCTATTTTTACTAGTGCACTGATAGTCAGGTTTCCAATCAGAAGCATTTTATGCTCGGGTTTAAAAGATACAGTCTTTTGCATTTATGAACCAAGCATCTATATACCTTCAGCATCTGTTGTGTATTTATGGCGTGATATGTGAACCCCTTAAAAGTAGGAAATAAGAAATTAATGATGGATGATGGCTAATAGTGGAGACCAGGAGACACGTTTCGTCCTACCTAGGACTCATCAGCTGAATGTACCTGCCTTCCAGTGAGTGATATTGTTCCCACCAGGACAGTATTAATAGGAAATAATACTTGAAGATATGATTAAGAAAATCTCACAACTACGCCTTGACAATCGTTGATTTCTATGTTTCCATATACCGTAAAAATATCCACCATTATTACAGTTGTTCCCCAGTGGTGTTAGTTTACAGGATCCTCATTTATCATATTTGTATTATGTTCACAGAGTTGAACATAAAGTTTAGATTGAATTATTTAATATACCATAATTATTTTTCTGTTTTGTTTTTCTTTATCATGTAAGTATGCTAGCTGATTCTAAATCACGAAGGCTTAATGATTTACCATTTGTCAATCCCAGGACTATTCCGTCGGTTTCAACGGGGACAATGTCTGATTTAAGATATTCTAGTATGAAACCTAATCCTTCTTTGCCTAGATCAATGGAATCGACAAATCGTTTAAATTCTCGTTCTTCAACCCCTGTAAATGAACCACAAAAATCTGATCATATGTGTTGTCCACCATGGTTAACGGTGGATCAAAGGACCTATCCAATAGATTCTTCACATTCAAATAAACCACAACCTAGCCCACGTGACCATATATTTGAGTTAGCTGACTCAAGGCTTGCTATACTACATGATGCAAAACTAGCGTCTTTAAGCGTAGATTGGCCTTCTTGTACAATCAGTCAAAATATACCTATGAGTAAAGCAAGTCGAACCAGATCTTCGAGTTCTTTTTCATCGACAGCTTGTCAAGCGGTTTCTGTTCCTAATACACCTGAATCATCGTTTTCAGTGAATCAGTTGCATACAAAAACAGCTGAGAGAAAATTTAGTACATCCAGTTCATCATCATCTTCGGCTTCTTTTGTAACTTCTGAGTCTGTCAATAAAACTCAAATTTCCGGTCAATGCAGTCCTAATCTTTCAGTCAGTTTCAGTTTTAAAGAACCTAGCGTACATCCTCAAACATCTTCCTGTTGTCAAACAATTACACCTCCATCTCCTAACATTGGAATGCCTAAAATTCCTAACTCTACACAGTCACAATTCTTAACTCATTCTACAGAAAACTCCCCAAACGCCTATTCTCAATCTAGTCCATTTGTATCTATGACTACAAATTCAACTGTTTCTTGTATTCCTACTGAAGTAACCAATAAAACAGAATGTGATCGACCTAATATCTGGTCAAATAAACTATCGATTCAATCCGAACAAATTAACAGGCAGACTCCAGTAGACTCTTCAATTATAACACCAAATTCACAAATACAACCAAAACAAGATCCTATAAAAATTAAAATCACCAGTGACACTAATTTACCGGATCAACGGTCTCAAAACACTTCAATGCCATTGAAAAAACGTCTTATCCAACGCTATGAAGCTGATCGTATAGATATTAAACCGCCAGATTTGACTGCATGCAATTCTCCTAAGAATGAGTTAATTATTGATAATGCTAGACTTCAGAATAGGTCAACCTACTCAGAAAATATACAAAATGATCAATATTTATCTGAAAACCGGTTTACTATGAAAGAGAATGTGAGTTTTATTATCATTTAAAAGTTGATTTTATATCAATGTATATAAACTGCAGTAAAATACGATATTTGTGTAACTGCATAAAATACATGTTATTACAGATCATATGATGTTGGCTCTTATGATCACATGTTCTATTTCCAACAATATGAGTTGAAGGATTTCAGTCCCTTTCCATTTATCAATGTTAAATGTGTTAATTAGTATCATTAACATTCTGAAAACCGGTACACCTTATAAACCATTCAGTACATGTTGACCGGATTCGAACCAGTGACTATCCGATTTCTGGCTGTTGTTCACATTTTCATTTCACCTTCAAAAATTACTCAATATCATTACTAGTCTACCAATTTATGTCTGGGAACGAACCAACCAAGAACCGATCGCTCAACAAATATGCAGAAGAAAGTGGAGATGGATTGGGCATACACTGACAAGGCCGACTGGGGACATCACGTATCAGGCCCTCGAGTGGAACGCGGATGCGAAGCGACGAGTTAGGCGTCCAAAGTGAGGGTGACATGGAGGAGATTGTGTGAGGAGGAAATGAGAGCTTGTGGGCTGTTGTGGAACCAGGTTGAAAAGATTTCAGAGAACCGAGCGCATTGGAGACGTGCTACTGAAGCCCTATGTCCCACTAGGAACCCAAGGGACAAATAATAATAATAATTTATGTCTATCTCAGACAGTCAGAATGATAATCAGTATCATGCTTCTCCTCACTAATTCAGTTACATTTAGATTCGGATGTGAAGCCCTGAGTAAGGCAGCCAGCATGAATACGATCAAGTGGTAGTAACGCATCATGAATTCATATAGTGGTCGAGCGAAACCCATCTTAGTGACTGAAGTGAAATAAAATCTGTTCAGCAGTCGGACCTTATGGCACAGATGGTAGAGTGTTTGACTGGAAACCCGGTTGCCACTGGTTCGAATCCAACGTCCAATCATCACTCAGTATCAATACTAGTCTACCATACCACGGCTACCTCACTCAGAGAGTCAAAATGATAATTCTATATGAAGCATTTTGTGGTATAAGAGTTTATATCAGTTCCGTGGTTGACTACTGTAAAGACTTTTTACATTTTTGCTTTTCAATATCAACTTATGTCCGATAAGCAGACAAACAAACAAAATCAACGTAGAATCTCGTACACAGGTTCATCATTTCAAGTTGCCATACTTCAAAGTAGTATACAAAGAACAGGTGGATAAAGAAAGACTGTTATCAGAGTAGAAAAAGGTATGTGAGAGAAGAAGGAATTTAAAGATGAAGCTTAGTGTGGATATTCAAGCTTTAGAAGACATCAGAGAGTGAATATATCTGCACCAAAAGTCCCCAATCACTGATTTCTATCATCTTGGAGATACCAACCACATAGTCTACATCTCCTCCACATGGTTCAGATCAATTATGCTCATTTTCTCTAGAAAAACAGAGTTTGTATGAAATACAGAAACTGAATTAGTGACTTCAGTAGTTACTGAAGAAGTTTTTTTCTAAAGGTCGATGTCATTCTACAGTACCGCCTTGTAAAATTCTTCACATCATTACATTAGAGCAATATATGTCAGTGGTTAGACTCCTTAGTATCATAGACAATTATGCTTCCTATATGAAGTGAATAGGCTTCGTCAGGTTTTCTACTAGTCAATTCTATCACAATCGCACGGGATTCGAACTTGGACTTGATTCATGGGTAAGAATCATCTTTGACATATTTTATCCTCTTTATTAGAGTAGTATTGTGTTAGTCAATTGTGAATGATAGTCTCTTACATTGATGACATATACTTCGTATCCTTCTTATCATGTGTTTTGTCACATTGTTTGTCTTTTTTTTTACAGTGTTTTCATGTATGTTGTTTATTTTTCCACTATTTAGGTAGAAAAAAATGATTGTCAAGAAAAAAAATTTAAACAGAGAAAACGTTCAAAATATAATTCAGGAGGAGGAATTTTAGGCTTAAAAAATAATGAAAGTAAACCTATAAAAATTATAACAAAATCTTCATCGAATAATTTACGAAAACCAGGTGCAAAATGTTTACGTAGATCTAAACTTACTTTATGTGAAACAGAATTGAATTCAGTTAAATCAGAATTTGATCTATCTAATGAAGATAGTTTAAAAACAATCATTTTAAGACGATCTAGAAAGCATAATTCTAGTGTAAATAGTACATCTAGTCTATCGCATACATCATTATGTCATGATTCAATAAGAGGTACTGGGAGAAGAAGAATAGCTGCTGTCAATGGGAATCTAATGATGATGGTTACTGCTCGTGCTCAAAGAAGTACTAGTTCAGGTAGTAGTAGCTCTAGTCTTAGAAGTGTTGAAGGTGAATGTAGTGATAATGAAGTATGTCCATATTCTTCTTCAAGTTCATCTACTATTCGTTCAAAAAGTTCACTTGATCGACAATTATCATATTCCAAAATATCATCATATAAATCCACTTTGAAATGTATAACTGGGAATGCAAACAATCATTCAATAAGTGTAGATGAATCACAAACTACACATTCATCTATTGATAATACTAATAATGGATCAAAGAAGTCTAAAAGAACAGGTGCTTTAACAGTGTCTACAACAACACTTTCATCTACAGTGAAAAAACCTCGTCTATCTACAAAACATCAACATACAGATGATGATGATGATGATAAATTGAGAAATAATCATAAAGATAATAGTTCAACATTGTTAGATCACAATGACTCTATATCTGTGGTTAGTGAAAATTCTTATGAAAATCCTATACCAGATGAATTATCAGCAGCATTAGCTGAAGAGAATTTACAATTTGAAGAACTTGTAAAACAACTTCCTGGTCCACCTGATTGTAAGTATCATAACAAAGAAGTAAATAATAATCTTTATGTTTCATATCTATGGTATGGTTAACCTTTGTTCATCTGTATACAGATTTGAACGACTGATTTAACGTATATGTCTAATCACCGATTGTCTCATCATACAATGTTGGTTGAAGTAGGTTGAGGGTGGAGAAAGGCTCGAGGTGGCCAAACTACAACATAACACCAATGTATGAAGTCTCTGACTGTTTGTTTGAGCCATGTGTGATGATGCAGAGTGTGTGGTTGGGATTGGTGGGAGAAGAGGAAGGGGTTGTTTGAGACTGTAGGTGATGGTGATGACGTGGCTCACCATCCAAATGCAAATTTTTGCTCCAGGACTGATCTTCAGCGGTGCCGTGGAAAACAATAGAGAGTGAGGTGGTTGAGTGTGTTGACCACTTCACTTACATGGAAAGTAAGATCGGCTCTACCCTGGTGGGTAAGTTGCCGATGAAATATCTGCACCGATACAAAAGGCTCGATTGGTTTTTGCCAATTTACGCCATCTATGCTGCCGCCGTGATATCCATATGTCTATTCAGAGTTGCGTGTACTGCACAGCAGCCTGGTCTGATCTGCTGTATGGCTGTGAAACATGGCCATTGAAAGTAGAAGATATAAGAAGCCTTCAAGTGTTTTACCACCGTTGTCTTCGTAGTACAGACCACCGCATTCCGTGGTGTCACCACATTAGTAATGCAGAAGTCAGGTGTAGAGTTTTAGGGAGAAGAGGTAAATCAGTTGATCAGGTTGTGAACCTTCATCCATTGAGATGGTTCACTCCGACACGTGTTATGTATGCCTAGTCACCGATTGTCTCATTACACAATGTTGGTTGAAGTAGGTTGAGGTTGGAGAGAGGCTCGAGATGGCCAGACTACAACATAACACCAATGTATGAAATCTCTGACTGTTTGTTTGAGCCATGTGTGGTGATGCAGAGTGTGTGGTTGGGGTTGGTGGGAGAAGAGGAAGGGGTTGTTTGAGACTGTAGGTGATGGTGATGGTGATGGTGATGACATGGCTGAGAAGTGATGTCTGTGGTGTACATGTATACACACATTATCCTCATGTTAACGACTCTATCTCGAATCTCATTATTTTCTCATTCTTCCTTTCTCTGATTGAGTGGTTTATATTAGTTTTGACTGAATTTTGTTATTTTCATGTTCCAGTTGACTGTGTTTTTACTTGATGTGGTGATATGATACGAGATGAGATGAGATGAGTTGTGGCAAGTTGTACGGTTACTCAGTGATGCCTTGGTCCTATGTTGGTATTGAGGATGATGATGATGATATGAGTTTTGGCTAAGCGCCTACTGTTCAGAATTCTGTTTCACATTCTCAATAGCAGTTATCATTTATTACTCTCTCTTATAGAAAAGAACTAGGTTGGTGATACATGGAAGTATTCAGCCTTCAACCAGGTGGTTATCTGCTTCGACACCAAAGGATTCCTACAATGATGCTGAATTTTGGTCACTATTGTATTTACTCCTTTACTGAATTGATTCATCTAATTTGCCTCTTTCAGTGTTACTCCTCACCAGTCTTAACTGTTTCTCGATTATAAATTTTAAGCTTACTTACTCTATCTCTTTCTCGCTTTCGCTTTAGTCGTAAGTGTATTAACTCTTTCCGTAAACTGTTTCTTCATTTACAGAACAGATGTTTTTCTTCTTGAAGGTTGAATTTAGAAGTACTATTCTACTTGAAAGTAAATGTACGAATTCAATGGATATTCTAAAGACCCTTTCTCACATAGCATCGTATTGAATTAAGTTGCTTAAAGCAACTAAAGCACGGTCAACTGTAGTAAAGTTCATGTTGTGTTTGTGTGTGTGTACAATTTTGATGAGTGAATAGAAAATGGATTACACTCATTATTATGAATGTGTTCATCATTTGCAAAACGGAATATTCTTTTACAATTTACTTGTTTCTGGTTAGCAGAGGAAGCTAGCTTGACGCATGTTTCGTCCCACATGGGACTCACCAGCTGCATGTACTTGTAACCCAGGGAATGATTTTATCCCTACTGAGACTCGAATTTCGTGCCTATCGTTTCAAACTTCAGAACGTTATCCATTAGACCACTGAAGCGCGATAGTCAGCTCGTATACAATGGATATTAGTTGTGATTCTTCATCGTTATTCTGGATTGAATTGACTGACCTTTGTTGATATATCGACCTCAGTAGCCTAATAGATAACACTTTGACATTTGAAGCGATGGGTCTGAGGTTCGAGTCTTAGTGGGAAGAACATCACTTATTAGGGTGTATTCTTGTGCAGTTGACGAGTCCCAATTAGGACGAAACACACTTTCAGGATTTCGCTGCTAGCCACAATCACATCAGTCATATCAATGAATATTCAGGAGGAGGTCGATTAGTTTGACCCAGTATAACATCGGGGAACTACAAGTTTGAACAATTAAGTTTGAGAGTTTATTGGAATTTATTTATTAACTTCAGATTCATATTCATCATGAACTGGCGTCAGTTGGAAAATCATTGAAAACCTGAGAGTACTGAACAGATGTTTCGTCCTAGTATATAGGACTCAGGAGTGCATACTTATTAGCTCATCAGAGATTGAACCTGGGACCTTCAGGTTCCCCACAGTCATGGATAAGCACTGCTGAGGGGTCTTATACTACGACGAAACAGCCTTCCGGTGCTCCCAGGTTCCTTAGGGCTCTTCAGCTGATATCAGTCGGTGATGAATGCCAACTTGAAACTAACAAATAAATCCTCACGAACCTGCAAATTGAATTACTGTTTAGTGTTCATTAGTAACCTGCTTTAAGATGAGATTCTTGATGTTTTAATGACAAGTCGTGACCAGTAGGGCCAACTAAGTCGGATATCAGCAGCGATATGCAAATATGGCTCAGAGTGGAGATCGCACTGTGTCATGAACTGGTAGAAATAGGATATATGGAGCATTGGATTCTGACTCAGTGACTCAGTGGTAACGGGTTGACAGCGGAACCCGAAGGTCCTGGGTTCGATCCCTAACCGTGCGAGGTCATACGTGCACACTACTGAAGAACTGGATACTAGAACGAAACAGTTGTTCGGTGCTTCGAGGTTTTCAATCCTTCTCCCACTGATGTCAGTCCATGATGAATATCAACCTGAAAAAAATGATAAAACAAGTTTATTTTCTACAAAATAATACATTTAACTGTAATACCTTGTCTCTACGAGGATATTCAATGGTACTTTCTCACATCACTCAAATCTATCCACCTACCTCAGTGTCTTCATACTCTGAAAGATAACATCATTTAGTCATTATGCATCCCTTAATTTACCTTCATCTTGTTTACCTTATACATAATTTGTACAGTAATGTCTTCATCGGGTGATTTGCCGACTGTGATCACTGGTTCGAATCCGGCTGGAGTCCAAATTTTCATTTTGTACCTTCAGTCATTAGCCAGTATAAATACTAGTCTGCCAAATAACGGTCATCTCACTCAGATAGCCAAAATGATAATCATTATGATGCTCCCTATCTCTGATTCAGTTAAATTTGGATTGCTATGACTGGCCAGCCAATGTGAGTACTATCAAGTGATGGTCAGGCGTCATGTATTCACATGGTAGTCGGTCAAAATCCACCTTGATAATTGAAGAGAAATACAAATCTGTTCAACAGTCAGATGAGTTGTACGTTGGCTGATAGAACATCGGGTCGGAAATCTAGTGGTCTCTGGTTCGAATCTGGCTGGGATCGAAATTTTCATCTCATCTACAACCATCAACCGCTATCAATAATACAAGTCTCAGATAGTCAACTGATAATCTGTATAGTACTCCGCTTCTCTAATTCAACTAGACTTCGGTTGGAATGAGAAGTCCTGACTAACTAGACAGCCAATGTGAATACAATCAAGTGGTAGTAACACATCATGAATTCACATGGTAGTTAGGCGAAATCCACTTTGGTGATTGAAGTGAAATGAAAATGTGGTCAGCAGTCAGATGAGTTGGTAGATAGCATAGCGGTCACTGGTTCGAGTCCGGCGGGGATCCAAAGTTACATTTCACCTACAATCATCACCCATTATCAATAATACTAGTCTACCAAATCAAGGTGACCTCACTTAGATAGTTAAAATGATTATTCGTAATTATTAAACACTCACTTGACCTTTAGTTGTAATTTGATAATGCGCTTACATTGTTTTATATTAAAAAAAAATTTTTTTTTTCTTTTTCTTAATTATAGTAAATCGTACAGCAAATAAATCGTTACATTCTACGCATTCATTAAATTTTTACAAACGTAGTCAACGTGTTTTTGTTCAACTAATAAATTGTAATGATCCAGGATTGAAACAAGTACCAAAATGTCGTGCTTGTCGTCAAACAAAAGTATCTTATCATCATAATTCACCTTTAAATAATTTACTAAATGGTATCGATTCTGATGATGATAATAATGAAAATAAAATTTTAACAACTAATGAAATTTCTAGTCCAAATAATCAAAATTATTCAGATGGATTAGATAAAAATGTTCAATTTAAAAGGCCACCTGGTCGACGATCTACTACAGAAAAAAATAAACAAAAAGATAATAATATAACAACAGATAAATCAAAGAGTAAACGTAATACTATTATACATTCACCAGTGTCTGTATTCTGTCGATTTTGGGGATTTAGAAAGTGAGTATACACTATGCATCTTTCTTATTTCTAGAATTTTATATTAAACATATACGCTATGAATAAGATATACAGTTTGCTTAGGAATCTAATCAAAAGTAGTAATGTTTCGGTATACTAATCTTCTTGTCCAACTTCTTATGTGTACAGTGAACTTGTTAAAGGGGGGGAATATGGTTTATAGGTTTCGTGACTAACAGTATCTTTCCTACTGTAGATTCTCATCAAAGAAACTGTTTGTTGAGTCTAGTTGTTTCTTACTGATTCAATTGAGTTCTGTATGTTGATTGATCACTTGATGGTAATCAACTTCCTGTTGTCTACTCCTTAGTACTGATCATTTTTCAGTGTAGCCATCAGACTAGGTAGCTCAGGATGGTGATGCACTTTGTTAGATGTTAATTGGATGGAAACAGTTGGTAGGTAGCCGTGTACACCTAGGCTTCGCACTTTTTAGCACTCGTCAGAAAGGCGTATCTGTAAGTTCAATGGAATTGATGTCCCGCTGGAGATTCGAACTCCTATCACTCAGTGTTGTTGTCAGCGGCGTTACCGCTGAGTTATTTAGCCTGTAACTGACCTTCTGTATGACTGGACATCAGTTTCCTTAGGGTTGCAGATACGCCTTGTTGATGAGTGCCAACAAGTAAGAAATGAAGGTTAAGCAGGGCTTCCTACCGATTACCTCTATCTAATTAACATCTACCATGTTCTATGTTCGTTACCATCGATATAGTCTGACTATACAAAATGTGGTTATACTCACAGAGCATTTTTTGACAGATAGATATATTTACAAAAGTGAAATTCTCATGGAAAGAAACAGTTCTAATATGAAGCTAAATGTAAAAATATTCCATTTTAGTCATCATTAGGCATTTTATTTTTCATATCAAATCATTTATATAAGGTTTCAAGGGATAGGCTTTTTAGCTTCTTGTTTAATGATGTCCTTTAGAGGGTGGATGAGGGTATCTTCCTGGGTTTCGGTTGTATACCAATGAACAGATCTGTAATGGCACCGACAACTTAATCAGGTAGTTGTAGATTAGCCCTGCCAAATGAAGTTGGCATACCGATCTGTATGATGTGAACATGAGATAGGAAACATTTGATTTATCCTATCCAGGGATAAGTTATTGAATAGAATGAATACCTGAAAACAATCAAATCAATCGGTTACATAGATGTACTCAGAATGTTCTAGTCCCAGTGGTGAAACCTGTCGGTAGATATGCATTTTATTTTGTAAAACGTTTTGTTAATTTATGATACTTCAATGCTACAGGTCATTCACTATCTGTGAGCTTTGTTTGATGGTTTACAATTGAAAAGTGTGTTGACACATCACAATTAGATGATTTGAAAATCATTCGTTGCAGTATCAGGATCGAAGTATGAACTGATCTGGCTAAGGTTTGAGCTTTTACAGGATAAATCAGCCTGGTTTTTTAAACAAAGTAATTGTTTGTTCCTTTTTCGATTTCTTGTGGCGTTATACCTGTCATTTTCCTACAAGATACTCTTATGTTGTTTTGTTCCATTATATGATTGGTTATGGGTTACATTGCTCAATTTGGAGATACCCCTTTTTTATGAATGTCAAGTCGCATGAAACGTAAGCAGAGGGTTTCATCGATTGAGATGGTTGGGACACGTGTTATGTATGCTTAGTCACCGATTGCCTCATCACACAATGTTGGACGAAGTAGGTCCAGGCTGGAAAAAAGCCCGAGGTGGCCAGACTACAACATCACACCAGTGTATAAAATCTCTGACTGTTTGTTTGATGCAGAGTGTGTGATTGAGGTCGGTGGGGCGAGAGAAACCAGTGGCTTGAGACTCTAGATGATGGTGATGACATGGCTGAGAAGTGATGTTACTGGTGTAGATGTATACACACATTATCCTCATGTTAACGACGCTATACCGAATCTCACCACTTTGTCATTCCTCTTTTCTTTCTTCTCTTACTTAATATTTCTTTTGACTGCATTCTCTTATCTTCATCTTTCACCTCACTATCTTTCTACTTGGCAACCCGGACCGTTACGCAGTGATGTCTTGGTCCTATGTTGATATTGATTGATTGGAGGGCTTTCTGATGATTGCAGCTAACCTTTGGATGCCATTAAGTATTTTGTCGATGAATTCTGATGAAATGGTTAGTACGCCAGTCTTCAGGCATATACATATAACATTCTGATAGTGTATTTTGATATAATCCCGAAAGTTATGAGTTTTTGATGATGGCTAGCAGTGCGAATCCAGGATGTGCGTTTCGTCCCATTTGGGACCCATCAGGTGGATGCACTTGCATCCCAGTGAGGTTTGGTATTCCCAACCATAGCTTGGAAGGCCAGAGCGTTATCCAATAGGCTACTAAGTCACTATAGTCACCTCTTGTGCAACGGATATCAACAAATAATCCCTGAATGTTTAGAATATCAAAGCAAGAATTTTCTTAACACCTTGGGATTGTATTGAAATATATTGTTTTAATGACTAACTGGGATTCACCGCTCGAGTTTTTCGAGGATATTCGTAGCAACGATGCTTTGGACGTTCATAGTTTATCTATTTGGAGATTTCACTCCAGTTTTTGGCTCAGCTTCGAGTCCCGGGCCAGTTTTTCAAATCTATGGACATTTCAACACAAAGCTACTGAATTGGTTTCGTCACCGAAACAGGAAACATCCAAGCAACAGATCCACATGAAGACAAACACTTTTGCTACATCATTCTGTTAATTTTCTCTCAAACTAATGCGTGTTATTCTAGAACCCTCTTAACTGTTAGGTTTCAAGGCTTCATCAGTTGTAGAGTTATCGGTTCATTGACCATACTCACCTCCCTGGGAGCACACTTGTGTGGGACACTTCCGAATGAACTCTTCACAACCCTGCAGACCGGATGCAACTCACCTTCCCAAAAAGGAATTCCTCTAGCAGACCAGATCCATAGACTTTTAATGCCAACAAATTGACAGCGATGGCTCATTTCGGGTTATTAATTTACAGCCAAAGTTAAGACCGAATATCGCTCATCTTCGAAAGGAAAACCACACACAGTTTCTTCGGATCACTTCAACAATAATGACTACAGGAATTAGGAAGCTGGATTCACTTCACCTTTTGGTTGCACTGCTCCCAGCACACTCGTGAAAATTCTGACATCTTCTTATAAGACTGTCCGTGCCTTGTAAATCTATGCCACTGACCTTGTGCATATTGATCTCAACAAACGTGGTTTCTACGCAGTCAATTTGGTGTTGTATTGGTTGATATCCAGTGTGGCCATGAAGTGTCTCACCGTCATCGTCGTGATATCAGAAAAAATTGTGTACGAGAAGAAAAAATTTGAAGATAAAAGCTTTTAGTGCGAATATTCAGGCTTTAGAAGACGTCAAAGAGTGAATACATCTGCATCGTTATGTCGCCATGAGTCCTTACACACAGATTCCTTTCTTCTTGGAGATGCAGTCTATGTCTCCACATGAATCAAACGAAAAGTCAGAGAATTTATCAACTGATGTCACCTCTTGGTTTTGGTGGCCAGCCTTAACTTTCTTCCAATCTAATCCATTTTCTCTCAACATGGTAAGTCGAGGTAGGCTGTGGCTTGGCATGGGCAGTATACTAACCCAACACCATTTTACCACGCCTTGTAGAGGGCATTTAACTGTGGAACGGATGTCTACTTCCTAGTTTATCTACAACCGACATTCCAGATGAAGTACTACGACTTACGGATATATAAATATCTGAATGTTGGGTACTGCTGAGTCGGGCAGGACTCTCACCTGAACTCTGACTGCCACTTACCAATAAACGCAGACCATAACGACAACATCGAGGTATAGAGAAGTATTGAACACCTTTGTCGTTGACTTACACGTCAACAAGATGAACTGTTTCCACAGTCAAAGAGAATATAAGTCAATCTTTGTATTGTGTACTCCTATACTGTTAGGATAGTCTATGCACAGGTAATTTATTTGCTACTCTCCTTCTCTCCTCTCTTATTCTAAATTACTAATCAAATGAAAAATGTTTTTTTTATTTTTCTATATTTTTTTATCAACCAACAAATAAATAGATTGTGTTTCAATAGTCGTGGTGTACTAAAAGTAGCTGATTTCTGTCAATCAACTGAATCGGATGCTTCTGAACGTTCCCTTTGGGAGATGTATCATCCAGGTAATATTCTCTTTCTTTGTTTCTCTTTCGGTGTATACTGGTGTATGTATTTCGTACTCCTTATAAATTTCTTTGCATTGTAAAGTGTCTCAACTTATCCTTGTATGAATTCTAGTCAGGGTTATATTGTTATCCAGATGTTGCCAAACTACAAGTATTTTATGTTAAACGATCTTTTATTGCTCAATGATACTGACTACCTAGTATACAGTTGTAAATCCTCGTCGGATACAAACAATTCCTTCAACTGATGGTTTACAGGGATTCAATGATTTCAAAAGAAGTTTTGGTTAAAGATTTACATCACCTGAAAAACGACTAAAGAGTACATGGCACTGAACAACTGTCATACGCTAACTTGGAACAATGATGGTGCATAATGATCATGCTATTTCGCGAGTTGGTGAATAAAAGAAGATGAAAACTGTTAAATCCCAGCCCATTGGTTGGTTGGTGATATGTTCTCCATGAGAACTGTCATTTCTGGCCTCTGTCCCCTCATTAGACCTAGGGTATTATTATTATTTGTCCCTTGGGTTCCTAGTGGAACATACGGCTTCAGTAGCACGTCTCTACTGCAGTCTCCTTAACCTGGATCCACCACTGCCCACACCCTTTCATCACTTCTTCACACCATCTCCATGTCACCCACACCTCGGATCCCCAACTCGTCGTTTACCATTCGGACTCCACTCGAGGGCCTGGCTGGACGCATGATGTCTCCGAATGGTTTTCTCAGTATATGTCCAATCCATTCCATCTCCACTTTCTTCTTCTGCATATTCGTTGGGTGATGGGTTCTTGGTTGGTTCGTTGCCAGCCAGAGTGAGTTCCTTGTTGCTTATTCTTTCTGGCCATCTGGTCTTCAGTATCGAGTGAGCGCAGGCGGCAGCTGTTGATATATGTGTGCAATCTGTTGGAAATGCTTTTTGTAGGACGTCGCCAAGTCTCTCAACCATATAGAAGCACTGACTTGATATTGGTGTTGAAAATCGGGATGCTGTTCACGCTTTATGGTGAGTGCAGTAGATCTCCATACTCATTGCTTTAGATTAATGCAGGAAGGCGTATCTTGCTACCTTTCCAATCCTGGCTTTGACGTCCTCATCTATGCACCTGTAGTTGAAACGATGCTGCGTTGCTTAGGTGGGTGAAAGAGGCAACTTCCTTTAGGTTTCTCCCGTTGATGGTGATTGATGCTTGTTGTTGACGCTGTTGTCGGTTAAGTATCTTCATCACCTCCGTCTTCCCTACATTCACTTGAAGTCCCGTTTTCGCTGCCTCTTCTGTCAATTTCTTGCTTTTTTCCTGTAAATCTTCGAGTTTGTGCGACAACACATTAGACATAAATCATCATCAGCGAAATCCAAATGTTCTTCTGGAGTGTTCTCATCGGTACAGCCAGCGTATGGCCGTCTTCTCGCTCCTCACGGTTTGCTGAGTGATCTAGTCGACCACATTCAGGAAGATCATGAGTGATAGTAGGCAGTCTTGTCTTACTCCTGTCTTCACTTCAAAGGCATCACTTAGCTTTCGATTGTGAATCCCTTGATATGCGGCGTCTTCATATAGCTGTTGAATGAGGTTGATAAAGACTAGCGGCTCTTTGTAGTGTTGAAGCGACTGCCAAATTACTTCTCGGTCTACGCTGTCAAAGGCCTTTTCAAAGCCGATAAAGTCTGGGTAAGGTAGAGAGTTGACTGCCACTCTGCGCTTTTGGGGTACACCTCAGTAATCAATAGTGGGGATTATTATCAGAATTTTTTGTTTAATGTTAAACTAAGTATCTTTTGGTTGTTCATGTCTTAATTGAAGATGTCGTCACATTGTCGAGAAGGACTCCTAGAAGGAGTTGGTTGGAATAATCTAGATTTACATTTCAGTCAACTGTATCTGTTTATCCTCTGTGAAGAAACATATTTGTCAGTATGCAGGGAACATGATACTCAGACAGTTGACAGTCAACATAAACTGGGTTCATTTTTAAAACTGGTTAACATCAGTCTGACATAACCTCGATGATTTTTGAATCTGTCAAGCAATACTTATCTAGACAGTCGAATCAAGACTAGTCAATTTTAAAGTTTCTATCATCAAAGTCACCATCATATAAACAGCCTAGAATAATCAGTGGTCAAGTACCTTCAACTCTTTTGAATTATGAGTTTAACTATAATTTCTATCAGGATTCGTGTTCATGTGAGTTATCTTTAGGTAGAATTATTACTTACATATTAATGATAGATAGTGGCTAGTAGTGGGGAATCCAGGGAGGTAGATACATCCAACTGATGAAGGCGAAAAAGGAAGAAACGCACGTCAAGCTAGATTCAACTACTAGCCACTTTTCATCATGAATATATATAACTCAAACACAGGCAATATTGAGACAACCACATGAAAGCCCGTATATCAATAGAGGCTCATCAATTCGATCTATTCAATGACAAGATAATACAAGCAACAACATTAGAACCAATTAACTGGAATATTTACTTCAAACACATTAAGTACATCATCAACTACAAAGTTATCGACAGAAATCAATAGACGCATCACCCTACCATACATAAAGAATATATCAGAAATCACAAGATTACTGAGACCACTTGGAATTGCTGTGGCTTATAAACCAACAAATTCCCTACAAACACAATTATGCAGATCAGAGGATGCGATAACCAAAGAAGACAAACCGAATATCATTTACAAAATCAACTGCAATAACTGTAGTCAACATTACATTGGACAAAGTGGTCGCCCTCTTCGCCTTCGTCTACATGAACACCAGTTGGCTACTAAATGTCACGACATTTCATAACTCATTTCAATGCATGTGAATAATTATGGACATGAATTCAATTTCGACAATGTAGAAATCTTGGACGGAGAGAGGAAACACAGAGAGTATCAGAGAATTGCTAGAAGATGTATAGATATAGACCCAATTTATTAACCGATAATCAATCCAAATCAATATAAAGCCAGGCATTACTGCGTAACCGTCCAACTTGCCACACCACACCTCATCTCATCTCATCTCGTCTCATATCACCACATCAAGTAAAAACACAGTCAAGTGGAAGATGAAAATAACAAAATTCAGTCAAAACAAATATAAACCACTCAATCAAAGAGAGGAAGAATGAGAAAATAGTGAGATTCGAGATAGAGTCGTTAACATGAGGATAATGTGTGTATACATCTACACCACTAACATCACTTCTCAGCCATATCCCCTAGAGTCTCCAACCACTCGTTCCTCTTGTCCAGCGGACCCCAGCTACCCACTCTGCATCACCACACATGGCTCAAACAAACAGGTACACATTTCATACATTAGTGTTATGTTGTAGTCTGGCCACCTCGAGCCTCTCTCCACCCTCAACCTACTTCGACCAACATTGTGTGATGAGGCAATCGGTGACTAGGCATACACAACACGTGTCGGAGTCAACCATCTCAATGGATGAAGGTTCACAACCTGATCAACTGATTTACCTCTTCTCCCTCTAACTCTACACCTGACTTCTGCATTACTCACGTGGTGATACCACGGCCGGTATCCGGTGTGTTGTTATGTAAGCTTTATGTAGCGTGACTGATGTTAGTAGTCATTACTTCAAACAAATAGTGTGTGAAATGAGCATTTAATGAAGCCGAAAAATGTGAAGTTCCTAATGTGTTTATGAAACAGAAAGACGCATGTTACACGTTCAAGTCCTCATTTCTATTCTGAATCGAGAAGATATGCGTGTTGTTGAGATGTGTCAGAAGAAGAGGAAGTACTCGTCTAGTGTTGCCTGACTGGTATTGTCTCTTCTATTGTTGTCATTTAGTGTCTTAAAGCCTACTGTGTTGCTTATTTCCCATCCTTGATATAATAAATTTTCCAATCATAACTTTTGTTGTTTAATTTCCTCTTTCATTTGAAATTCTACTTTTCAGTTTCACCATTTCTGAGTACATATGCTGCGCGCTATATCTTGGAATGTGCTGGTGGTTTATTTTGTCATCTACTCCATCAAGAATTGACCACTCTGAATGGTAGTCATTCAAATCAGTTAGAACATGAGAAGGTCAAGTCAACAGTTGGTAAAAATGGGACATGTCACTCAGAACTATTAGATGTCAGTAAAGATGGTAATAATATTCAGGTTGCTTGGAAAAAACCTGTGAAAGGAGTGCGTGAAATGTGTGATGTCTGCGAAACTACGATGTTCAATACACACTGGGTTTGTGGTAAATGTGGTTACTCTGTATGTACAGATTGTTTAAATGAATCTGGGATCTCCAATCCTCTGACCAGTGGAGATACCAAAGAGAATGGAAAGCTCAATGAGAATAGTACATCAGAAAAAGCAAAAACCAAATATTCACGAGGTTAGTACTCTTGATGTGTTTGCGTATCGATGAAAAGATATGCCTAAGATTAATTTTTTTGATAAACGTGGTAGTCGTACAATAACTCATCAATTCCATGTAAATTTATATAGCAGATTATCCCTTACATATCTGTTTCAATTATGCTATCCAGATACTAACAACTGAGCAGGTAATGCAACTTTTGATCCACTTAATTACTTATTGAAAGTTGACTAAGTTATAACTTAAAGTATTTCTTAGCATTTCATTGTAGTATCATCAAAGATGGCTCATTTCCATACACGGTAACTCATGGTTTTCTGCTAGGAAAGAATATGAATTTAAGAAGTGGAGAGAACAAAACGGTGATGTTTAGTTTCTTTCTATCTGTCTGTGGGTGTGATCCATCGAACATTACCGATTATCATACTGATTCCAAATCAGTAAAGCTTAGGGACTTCATCAATAACCAGATATCATCTTGACTTTTTTGTGTGATTATGAAAAGCATTTCCAACAAACTGGAGACATATATCAATAGCTGCCATCTACGCTCAATCGATACTCACACTGAAGATGGAGATAAGATGGCCAGAATAATAAGAATAAGCAACAAGGAACTCACTGTGGCCTGACAACGAATCAACCAAGAACTCATTGCCCAACAAATAAGCAGAAGAAGAAAGTGGAGATGGATTGGATTGGACATACACTGAGAAAACCATTCGGAGACATTAAGCATCAGGTCAGGTCGGTCCTTCGAGTAGAAGCCAAATGGGAAGCGAGGAGTTGGTCATCCTAGCTGAGTGTGACATGGAATAGATGGTGTGAGGATGAAATGAAATGGTATGGGCAGTGGTGGAGCCAGGTTAAAGAAACTGCAGAGAAGAGAGGGAAATGGAGACGTGCTACTGAAGCCGTATGCTGTTCAATTAGTGATTGTCCTAAGTATTGTATGAGATGCCTTCTGTGGTCATCTTATTACTAAATTACTCTTTTAATTAAGTTTAATCGAAAATTTAAGAAGTATCCACTTCACTAACCTTCCACAGATTCGTACAGTAGACTCATTGGTTGAAAGTCATCTTAAACCAACAAACCAAAATTAGGTACTCCTATTGTGATCTATATAATCTAGAAATTAAGCTGTTGAAGTAACTAAATGATTGGTAGTTACATCAGTGGCGGGGTTTTTTCGAAGTGAAAAAATCGCCATTATAGCTCTAACGAATTATATGACTGATTGTCAGTGGAAGGATTACTTTTTTGGAGGATTAAGAGTCAATTTCTGAAAATCACCTTGCTTTTATATAGTTACTGTTTTATCTCTCGAGTTCTTGTGTGTCTACATGATGAATGATAGAAAACTGCATTGTTTGGTCACTGGAAAGTAACTATTTTCTCGTTTTCTAGTCTAGCAATCATTTTATAACGACTTCACCAGGCTAGACAACTCAGCTTCACTGATCACTTTGAGTCATGTTAGATGTGGTCAGAGGGGATCAGTAGGAAGCTCTTTTTCTTTGTCTAGGTTTGGTGCCAACATAATTAGACAAGTTCCAAACGTGAAATCCCCTACGATTAATGAACCCAATAATTCGGACAGAGATTTTTGTCCACAGCCAATCAGGTTGCGGTATTTTGGCTGGGAAAACCGTTTTTCATAGAATAGAGAAACTTGATTAGTTGTTACATCAATTACTAGGGTGGGCTTTAAAGTCGCTGCCGCTAATCATCAGACTTTAGTGTTCAGTGTTTCTTCAATGAGAAGATACAGTCTTACACAACTGTTCCATTGATACTATCTGGAGGTTTATTAATTGATTTTTAGTTGAAATTCATCCTGAACTGATATCAGTTGGAGGAAGATTCGAAATTTGAGGGCACTGGACAGCTGTTTCCTCTTACTAGTATATGAGTCGTCACCAATGCTCACCCATGACTCCGTCCCACCAGGGATCGAACCCAGGACATTCAGTTTCCATGGCCAACACGTTACCATTGAGTCAGTGGGTGAGAATCCAGTGATCCACATTCCGTACTTACGTCAGTTCATGATATAGCGCAACCTCGATCCACTGTCGTCATTGAGTAGTTGTCCTCATATTCGACTCCATTCATATCTCAAAGCTAGTTACCAATGAGCGCTAGATAGTTATTATGACAGATATTGTCTATAGAATTTTATAGTTGTCACTCTGAGTGTGGGAATGGATCGTTTTGAACCGAATTTCATGCATCCAAAAAGGATAATGGATACCTGACAAAGAAATGCGGAGGTAGGGAGAACCCTTTTACATAGTTAAATCAAAATACTACACTACAAATACACTGACAATTGTTGTGAGTTGTGTTAGTTTGAGTTTCGCAAGTGATTCTGACGGTAAAGTGAACACTAATCTCCTGATCTCTTGAATTGTACATCATTTTGGATCTTATTGTTTACCAGAAGTTTTATTCATGTGTACACAGACGTTGACCCGATCACAGGTGAATTTTCTTTAGATCTAGAATATGCAGATGACATAGTTCTGTTAGGTGAAGACGCTGACAAGATGCAGAGTCTTCTGAACACTTTGAGTGGGAATTTGAAATGTTTGGGATGCGATTTTCACCACCCAAATGCAAATTTTTGCTCCAGGACTGGTCTTCAGCGGTACCGCGGCTAACAATAGAGAGTGAAGTGGTTGAGTGTGTTGACCACTTCACTTACCTGGGAAGTAGGATCAACCCCAGTGGGTTAGTTGCCGATGAGATTTCTGCACGGATACAAAAGGCTCGATTGGCTTTTGCCAATTTGCGCCACCTATGGCGCTGCCGTGATATTCGTTTGTCTATTAAGGGTCGCGTGTACTGCACAGCAGTCCGCTCTGTTCTACTATATGGCTGTGAAATATGGCCATTGAAAGTGGAGGATACAAAAAGGCTTCAGGTGTTTGACCACCGTTGCCTTCGTAATATAGGACGTATTCCGTGGTGTCACCACGTGAGTAATGCAGAAGTTAGGTGTAGAGTTTTGGGGAGAAGAGGTAAGTCAGTTGACGAGGTTGTGAACCTTCATCGACTGAGATGGTTGGGACACGTACTACGTATGCCTAGTCACCGATTGTCTCGTCACACAATGTTGGCTGAGGTGGGTTCAGGCTGGAAAAAGGCCCGAGGTGGCCAGACTAAAACATGGCACCAATGTATGAAGTCTCTGACTGTTGGTTTAAGCCATGTAGGACGATGCAGACTAGGTGGTTGGGGTCCACGGGACAAGAGGAACCAGTGGTTGGAGACCCTAGGTGATCACATGGCTCAGAACCGAAGTCAGTGGCGCAGATGTATACACACATTATCCTCATCTTAACAACGCTATACCGAATCTCACCATTTTGTCACTCCTCTTTCCTTTCTTCTCGTACTTTATATTTCTTTTGACTGCATTCACTTATCTTCATCCTTCACCTCACTACCTTTTAACTTGATGTGCTGATATGAGGTGTGGCAACTCGGACCGTTACGCAGTAATGCCTGAATTGAGCGTATACAACCAAATTATTAAAGATTAACTAGATTTGACTAGAAATGAGATCATATCTTATGATGTTTAGTGTATAGTTTCTACCAGAAATCCTGTTGAACACTACAGCCTTGTAAAATATCAATTTGGCCAATGAAATTTATAGGACATTTTCATCAAATTGTTATTTCATGATAAAGTTTAAAGGGTTGATTTAGATAGATAGTTTTTAATGAATAATTTGAAAGTGTATATAAATAATTTCATTGTAATTTTTAGGTCGTGGAGGTCCATTTGGTTGGGCATCATGTACTACAACACGTCAATATCATGATCCAAATAAACTTCTATTAACATCTTTACTACCATCTGGTATTATAGGCAAATTAATTCATCGATTACATCGTATAGCTAATTATTATCAAATTAATTTAGGTTGTCATTGTTCTTCAACTAGAATATATAATGATAATTTTTCTATGTTGAAAACAATTAAATCATTGGATAATAGACAGCATATTGATCAAAATTCACTTAATTTATTAGCTGATATAGCTTTAAAAACAGATGAATTAAACACTAATGATACACATGTTACTCATTTTATTGATCCAATGATAGACTCATCTATTCCTATTGTTACAAATAATGATATTAAATTATTCGATAGTAAACAAATAAAAAAATTTCCATCACATAATTGGATTCATTCTAGAAGTTATAGTATTAAAAAAGTCTGTCAAAATGTTAATAATTTAACCAATACTACTACTAATAATAATAATAATAGTAGTATTCATGATGAGGTAAATACTAAAAATTTTCAAACAAAAGAAATGAATCATCAGTATCCTGTTGTTCTACGTTTACATTGTCCTGATTCACCTGGAGTTATATTAGCATTTCAAGTGAGTTTTCTTCTCCTATTATTGTTATTTCAATTGCTATATATATATATATATATATATATATATATATATATATATATATATATATATATATATATATATATATATATATATATATATATATATTAGTCACTCAGGGGTCTCCTGGTTTCCAATAATAGATTTGTTAATCTCTTTCTGTTTATCACAATCACATAAAAGCTGGTTGAATGAATTATGCGATTATTCACTACTCATTGATTAATCTTTCCCTGCATTACCAACTAAGTTGATAATAATACCAATAGGTGTTTATTGATGAAATTCACTGGGGGGGAGGGGTCATTGTATACTGTAAATTGACCACTGAGGATTGAACTGAGGACCTGCTTGACCATACAAATTATGATTTATCATTAGAGCTTCGGGATATCCATCTCGAAGGATGTCACTAATGAACACTATGAAGAGTTGCACACTAAGACGAAACAGTTGTACAATGCATCCAGGTTTTCAATGATTCTTTAGTTGATATCATGTCTTAAAAATAAAACCCTCATTGACCTCAAAAATATAGTGTTAATTAAATAACTTTACAAAATACGAGCTATTCAATTCTTACACACTGTCTTCCATGTGAAAATCAACTTTCAGCGCTCGTTCGCATATGGTTACACTAAGTCGTCATCAACCGTTTTCTGATTTTTCTATGGTTGGTAAACTGGATATCAGTTTAGAGTGAAAGGTATTGATAAAAGGATATCAGTTGAGGAAGGATTGAAAATCTGAGAGAACTGGATGGCTGTTTCGTCCTAGCAGGGGACTCATCAGCAGTACACACCCACGACTTGGACCTTAAGGTTTCACGGCGAACGCGTTAACCATTCAGCCACTGGGTCAGTTTCCAACTTCTGTTAATTCACGACATAGTGTTAGTATCACATAAAGATCTTCAGTTAGCATCCGCTTCACTTACGACTGTTTGACCCCACAGAGGGCGTACTGCTGAGGAGTCCTATACTAGGATGAAACAGCTGTCCAGTACTTCCAGATTTTCAGTGGTTCCCCAACTGATGTCAGTTCATGATAAATACTATTTCTAAATTAAAAATCCTCATTCATCTCAATAAAAAGATTTTTAAAATTTTACTTCTAGATGAACAGCTGATAAACTTTTCTTAGAAAGAAACGAATACTTTAGACTTTACAATTTAATATTATGCTAACTTACTTGGTTTTGGTTAGCAGAGGAATCCAGGGCACGCGTTTCGTCCTGTTTGAGGCTCATCACTCGGAGGTACATCCACTTGAGGAGTCCCAAATAGGACGAAATGCGCTTCCTGGATGCATCTGCTAACCACCACCAAGTAGATTAGCATCATAGATACTCAAGCAATATCGAGATATCTGTATAGGTGCTCATATGCCAATAGAGGTCGAACAATTCGATTCAGTAAAACAATAGAGAATTAAAAGCATATTGACAAATAGTAATTATTACAGTCCGATATGCATAAAACAAAGCGAATTTGTTTTCATTTGCTTGAAATCAACGGATTTGTATTGTTTTACGCTATTTTCTGCAGAAATATGTTTCGTCTACCTAGTTTATTGTTTCGTAACACACACACGCACACACACACACACACACAAGGACACGTGCATATATACTAATCGATAAATGGATGGGCAGGTAGACGTGAAAGATCATTATGAACACAAAAGCATTCCGGCTAAACATCATTTCAAGTCACGTGACAGTTGTTATCTTTGATGTTATCTAAGTATAATAGACGTATACAAAAAATTGATTACTTGATTGACCGTTTAATCATGTGATTTGACAACACGTTCAACATTTTAGTGAATACTGTCCTAATCAGTCTATAAAGTGATAAGGTATAGGTGTGCTATGAAAACGGATAATGTTATGAAACGTTAGTAAGTAGGGCACGATTTCAACCGGTTACTTATAGATTGCTTATCAAGTGTCTGAATCAATAAAAGTTATATTTGAAGAGGTCAGTAGATGTTAGTAATTGTCAACTGCTTGGAATTATGATCAGATTCTGGAGTTTTTGGTCAGTAGACTTGTTGGCATTACTTGTGACTAGTATTTCGTATTACATTAATGATTTCAAGTTGTTATTCATCGAAGACTGACATCAGTTGGAGGAACAAAGGAAACCTAGGAGCACTGGACAGCTGTTTCTTCCTAGTATGGGACTCCTCAGCAGTGCGCACCCACCACCCCACCAGCAGGGATCGAAGCCGCCACCTTCAGGTTCCGCGACCAGCGCGTTACCATTGAGCCACTGGGTCACAATCCAGTGGTCCATATTTCCAACTTCTGTTAGCTCACGATATAGCGCAAACCGCCACCAAATGTCATCGTTGAGTATCTGTCCTCACGACCATCAGGCTTTGACTCCACCGGTCACGTCTTCTCATTGGAACTTCGGGAATACTTCTCGAAGCTAGTCACCAATGAGCATCAGTTCAATTAAATTTTTGAGGGGGTTGTGGAGATTTGGAAATATTTCAAGTTGTTATTCATCGAAGACTGACATCAGTTTTCAGTACAGTGGAAATTTGATCTTGTTTTCAGAGTGTCAACAGAAGGAATGTTGAGATAGTATACCCTAGTGTGGATCTCCTGTGATTGCCTTACTTTAGAATTACTTACATTGTGGTTCCACCGGATGTAAGTAACCCTGTGGAGGCAATAGTGATGGAGTTTTCGGACATCCTCAGTTGGGAGATGCTGGGTTTTACAGGTGTATAGCAGAAATGTCCACACTGAATTAGTGTTTACCCAGCCCTTTACGTCATAACAGCGCCGAAGGTACCCTAGATTAGTATACATCGCTTTGGTTTTAGGTATATAGTAGGAAATATCATCAGCCACATCTCTTCCACGATATTCAGTAGACTAACCAGGTACATACACTTTTCGATAACTTCCAACGGTTCACCATCAAAAGTATAGGTTTCTGCCAACCTTATAGTACTTTGTATTTCAGTGGTGCAAAGCATATCTTATACCTACGGACAGTGATCACCAACTGACTAAGTGAGATTTAAATAGCCTATATATTGTTGCACAGTAAAACGATATCGTCTGCATACTGAAGGTTCAAAAGTTTAGTTGTATCAATAGATCCAACCAGTTTACTTATGTCGGATGGAAATACTGATGACTGCCAAAACTCAGAGTGGACTTGATACACACCAGAGCGTGACCAGTATCAAAGCAACTGTTCCAGAAAAAATGACAGTCCTGGATGCACCCATACTCTCGGTAGCTGATAGCAGTATAGTCCATGTGATCCCAGGCTAGAGTGATAAAGGGAAGATGGCCAGTAGCACAACAGAAATTGGAGCTGGCTAGAGACAGGTTATGATCTACTGGAAGATGCAGATGACGTCCCTGATTACCTTACTTGTAACCGACCAATCCTCATTGGCCACTTAAACGATCCTCCTCTGAACCTAGCCGCCCGACCTGTGTATTTAAGTCTTCAGGTAGGACTAAGATATCTGTCGAGTGCATCTGGTAGGGACCATTTATTTAGTGGTAAGAACCATCCTCAAGTACATCTAGACTAGAGTCAGATGGAGGACAGATAGAGATACTAAAGATCCATCCTTCCCCTCACCAGTCACTTTTCTTTCTAATGAAACATCCTACCCCAACGGCGCTGACTGTTAATGAAGATCCAGTGGAATGGTGCGACTTCGACCTTGGAGCTTAGTGTAATACCAATACGAGTAAAGCTGGTTGTTGATGGCATACGTTCTCCGAATAAGCACCATGTGAATACACTTTTCAGTCGATAGACCGGGAAGTTATTCTAAGTATTCCACTAGGATCTTGTGTAGATGTGTGTCTAATTTGCAGCAGTCATCAATAAAGAGACTTTCCAGAGTCTTAACCAAATCTGTCTATTGTCATATCTGCATCAACTTTTGAATGTTAAGGGTAGCTGGCTCAATCAGTGAATATAGTTTCCGAGTAGTTACATCAGATATCTCATTGAAGTATAACTTTCTGGAGGTAATTGTTTGGCGATTCAAGACTATGCAGAAACACTAGAGTTTCCATCGGTGATGAGCAACACTGAGTGAAACAAAGATACATATGAAGATGAAATAGAAAATGATGACGGAAGGACAGTATAGTTCAGATGTAATTGATTGAGCAGAAAGTTCGTTAAATCGTGAACTCCAATTGATGCAGGAAGATTTGATGAACACCCAACAGCAGTCTTCATTGTTTGTGCTGATTCATGAATTGTATATGGGGTGTGATGCTGTTTGGATGCATAGACTGAAGCAGATGGTAGCCCTAGGAGATTACTCCTTAAGCCTTTAACCTGACGTTTGATCCACAAGGCAGCAAAGCAACGTGAGATGTTGCACTTTATTGGCTGCTGGTGACAAAGGTAGGTTCATACGCTAGTATTTATACTAGGTGATGATTGAAAGTGAGATGAAAATTTAGATCACGGCCGGATTCGAACCAACGACCACCGGGTTTCCGGCCCGAAATCCTGACTAGGCAGTCAATATGAATACGATCAAGCGGTAGTAACGCGTCACGAATTCATATGTTAGTAGAACAAAATCCACCTTGATGATTGAAGTGAAATAAAAATGTAGTCAGCAGTTGGACGAGTCGTAGCTCAGTTGGTAGAGCCTCAGGCGGGAAACCGAAAGGTCGCTGGTTCGAATCCTGCTGGGGTCCTAATTTTCACTTCACCTTCAATCATCATCCTGTACCAAGACTAGTCTGCCAAACCATGAGTACTCAGCTAGTCAAATGACAATCATACACTAGTCCTCCGTTCTGGATTATAGGACCCACGTTCCGCACGAGCTAGAAGCCAGGTGTTTTCAACTCCCCTTGGTATACTTTCCGTGTACACTAATCCGCTTATACTGTTGAATATCCGCTTTTCACCTTCAACGAAGTTTTACACTGGTTTTGTCTATCGATCTGCATGTTCTTAGCAATTCTGCTGAGGTGTTCAGTTCCCCCCTGTGACAATGACCTGCACTCATCAGTAGTGCACCATGCGGAAATATCAGACGAGATGGCTATTTGTTGAAACATTGAAATGTGTACACAAGTTAGCATTTCATAAGTAGTATGTATATAACGTTGGTATATACTTTGATATAGTGGCTAACAGTAATTCAAGTGAATACTTGAATGAATAAACAATATTCTGCTTCATTTTTTGTATAAACAAATCTTTATTGATTCATAATAAATTTTTCAATAGTTTTACTTTTAGTATTCCTGATTTTTCATTCATGCATACCAAATTTACTGGAAAAAAAACAAACAAGCATATATCACCTGTTGAATGAGAAGTTTTGGAAATTGCGCTCGCAGACACTTAGTTATCATCTATCTAATCATGTCCAATTACGTGCGTAGGCACGCGCGCTCACACATACATACATACACACACGCATAGATGTATGCGAACATGCATAAACGTGTTGGCCTAACCATTGTCTGATAATCACTGATGGTTGTCAGCCCGGCAAGATGTCTTCTATTTGACCTTGAAAAAAAAACAGTGGAAACAGTTTCAAAACTGGTTAAAATGAACAAGAATTTTTTATTTTAAAGAAATATAAATAGTATAATTTAGGGTTTTTACGCATCGATTCGTTGTATATACTTTAAAAAAAAGCTGGTTTCTATTCAGAACTGGTTTTTAAATTTATCAGTCTGATATTTGTATTTCCTAATCATGGTGAATATTAAACAAGACAACGTTGTTCAAACAACAGACTTCTCTAGCATGCACTAAGATTAGCGAGTGTTGTATACTTTCGGTCTGTCCGTGTTGAAGCAGACGTTAACAGTTATGATTAAGTAGTTAACATTTCGATGGTGTCGTGTTCTCTAACCTGGATGGTTTAATCGTGAGGCTTTCATTGTCATCCTAGATATCATCAACGGGATAAACCTCAGCAAGAAGTGAGCTATAGGGTTTTTTTCTCACAATTTATTTAGTAACTTGTCCCGGTGACCTTGTGTGATTGGTTGTTTCTGCCAAGGTATTGTCATTGTCTCCATGTTTATTTTGATTGGTTGTCCGAATGACCTGAAATGTACCCTTGTTATTTCTTACTAGTTAATAGATTGGGTCAATTTCAGTATGTTCGTTGATTGCTGACTGGCTGACCTGAACACCAGGCTCCTAAAAATTCTCTAACATTCTTTGTATTTCCTCTATCCAGGATTGTAACATTTTCTCAATCATATCCATGTCTACAGTTGTCCGTATGCATTGATATGTACAAAGATATATCATGACGTTTCACTACTAGTTGATGTTCAAGTAGACGGATATGCAGAGAGCGATCACTCTGTTTTTCACAGTTTCCGGAGTTTATTTTGTAGATAATATTTGATTTATCTTCCTTCGCCATTGCATCTTTTGGCCTGTATAACAAAAATTGAAGAGATTTTGTAGGCTTGTGAGCTACAGTGATTTCAAAAGGCTGCAATAATCTAGTTGTGATCTCGGAAATGTTCTTCATGTAGAGGTGAAACAATCGGTTTGTTGATTTTCAAGGCTGACTTCTTGGTTAACGCTATTATTGTTTATCATTATTTGTCACTTGGGTTCCTAGTGGAACATACGGCTTCAGTAGCACGTCTCCATTGCACTCTATTCTCTGGAGTCTCATTAACCTGGATCCACCACTGCCCACAAGCTTTCATTTCTTCATCACACCATCTCCTCCATGTCACCCACATCTCCGACGCCCAACTCTTCGTTTCCCACTTGGCTTCCACTCTAGGACTCAACCTGGCCTGACGCGTGATGTCCCCAAACCGTCTTCTTTCCCAGTGTATGTCTAATCCAATCCATCTCCACCTTCTTCTGCATATTTGTTAGGTGATGTGTTCTTGGTTGGTTCGTTGCCAGCCAGCCAGAGTGAGTTCCTTGTTGCGTATTCTTTCTGGCCCTCTGATCTTGATTATCGAGTGAGCGTAGGCAGCTGTTGGTTGATGAATGGCTGTATTTTGTTGGAAATGCTTTCGTAACGCGCCTAGTCTCTCAACCATCACTGTTGAAAATCTGGATCTTGTTCATGCTTTATGTGGAGTGCAGTGAAGTAGATCTCCACACTGATTTCAGGTTAATGAAGGCCTGTCATGCTTCTCCGATTCTGGCTGCATTGATGTCCTCATCTATACCTGTGCCGCCTGTAGCTGAAGCGATGCTGCCTAGGTAGGTTAAAGAGACAACTTCCTTTCAGTTTCTCCCATTGATTGTGATTCGTGCTTGTCGTTGGTGATTGGGTATCTTCATCACCTCTGTTTTCTTTACGTTTACTTGAAGTCTCATCTTCGCTGCCTCTTCTGCCAACTTGTTAGTTTTCACATGTAGAGCTTCGACAAAACATTAGACATAAATCATCATCGGCGAAATTCAAATGTTCTTCTGTGGTCTTTTCATCGGTCAAACAGGGTATGCCTCTCTTCTCGTTCCTCACAGCTTGTTGCATTACAATGAGGAAGATCATGAGTGATAGTAGGCAGCCTTGTCTTACTTAGTTAAAACTCTGCATTATGCAAACATCTCAAGTAGGTCACAACATCAGAGTCAGGGAACATTTAGCTCAAAAAACGGTTCAACAACACACATCATCGCGGATATATACAATTCACTCTGGAACAGAAGTCAAGAAATTTCTCCTGTCTACACGTGTTTCTGATATGCTCTGCAATGTAGTCAGTTACTTTACACTCGTATATGAAGCGTGAAGTTGAATTCATAGTTGCTGGATTTCAGAAGTAGCAAGAAAGTATTTTACTGTATATCATAGTACCTCTTGTTTTGTTTTTTTCGAGAGTGAGCAATGTAGTCAGCTTCACTTGGCACTAATTATAGCGTTCTGTCATTGAAGAAACATTTTACCATACTTCTGTATAATTTTATTATGGAACTTTTCTTGTCTAACCTTTGTATGGTATGATTGATAGGTTTCAACACTTTTTTTCTCCTCCTTCTTTAGTCTCAATGGAGAGTTAATCATCCAATTATTATCTCTGGTTGCCAACATAAATTCACACGGGAGCTATGGACTCCACAAAGTTTTTGTGATGATTTTGGAGAGTTAAAAACGGTACTGGTTGATTGCGCTACTGGTGCTGAGATTACACGTTATTCCTTAAAAACATTTTGGGAAGGTTTTGAAAGAAGAGAACGTAAGTTTCTCACCCTTCTTTTCCTTTTATATAGTAGTTTTTTATTCAAAGGGAAGTTAACTTTCTGAAAAAATCCCTCTCAAAGTTTTATAAGATAAACGAATGAATAATATGTATTATTATTATTATTTGTTCCAGTGGGTTCCTAGTGGAACATAGGGCTTCAGTAGCACGTCTCAAGTGCGCTCTCTTCTCTGCAATCTTTTGAACATGGTTCCACGACAGTCCAGAAGCTCTCATTTCTTCCTTGCACTATCTCCTCCATGTCACCCTCACTTCGGACGCCCAACTCGTCATTTCCCCTTTGCATTCCACTCGAGGGCCTCCTACATGATGTCCCTAGTCGACCTTCTCAGTGTATGCCTAATATGTATGATTAAATGCTATTCAAGCTGGTAGGTAACTTTACTGATTAGATGTAAGTGATCTAGACAGTAAACCACGGTTTCACTTCCTTTTAGACCTGAGTTTATCACTGGTGTACTCAGATAGATCAAGTCTATGTGTAGAATTTGCTCAAATCATACTTGTCAGTATGAATGATTTCCAGCACAATCCCCTATTAGTTCTTCATTGATAACTTGTGTTTCTACAAACAGAATGAATATGTGATGGTAACTGAATGGCTTCCAGTAGAAAATCCACTGAAACTACAGTTCTGTTTTTGTACTACAACTATTCACCTCTGAGATATATCCATGTTAAGCGTATCATTTTTTTCAACAACTTTCAAGATTTTTTAAGTCTCGTATACCTTTGGACCGATGAATTTTATAGTTTCATAATATACTTATATATTCTATTCTATACACTTTGTTACTATACGTCATTTTTTTTCTATACGTTCGCTTCAAAGTTTATAATTTACACATTTGTTTAGTTTTTACGGTACATTTTATTGATTTTTTCTTGTGTCTTTATTGTCATATTACGATCACACACAGACATGCACACACACACACACACAAGTTCTGTTCATGCCTTTTTCATCTACGCATATTCTTCTTTGCATAATGAAACAACCTAGGATGGACTTTGTAACTGGTATTGATTCCTGTTATGATACTACTTGTAATTTCCCGTCGATATACAGAGTCGAATTACTCAACCTGTGTTGATGGATGCGCCCCTGTGTAGATACCTCGATACCGCTGATTGTTCATGATGTTATAGCAGTGAAAAATTACAGGTTTCATAGTAACAACTGATACCCATTATCCAAGAGGTGGCTATCATGCCGCAGTGGCTTAGTGGATAAAACTCTGGTGTTTGAAGCGATGGGTAATCAGTCGGATTCTCAGTGCGAACAACATTACTCAGTACTGGAGTCCAGGTAAATTTAGCCGACGAGTCCCAAATAGGACGAAACGTGCATCTTAGATTCCTCTGCTGGTCAGTGAGATCAATATGGCACTGATTCATGTCTAAGGAGTTATGATTTAAATTGAATGAAGTAAATAGGTCATGATCAGGTAAAAGAAGACAAGACTTTAATTAGACCCGAGCAATCGGCAGGAAGCCCTCTTTGGACTATGTTTCATACTTGCGGGCACTCTTTAGCAAAGCGTATCTGGAACCTTGAGGGAATGGTTTTTCCATATGAGATTCTTACCTTCGTCACCCAGTATTGTAACCAGGCACGTTACCGATGAGCTACTCAGGCTGCTACTGGTCTCTTGTAGGACTGAACTATATACATTGATTGGTCACTGGAGGGTAAGCAACTTCATGTTATCTAGTCCTATGCACTGATCGAATTCTATTGATCATTTTTCAATTTGATCACTAGGCTAGGATACTCACCCTCTCGGTTCTTTGGTATAAATGTTAGCCGGAAAAAGGTAGAAAGTCTTGAACTTAGATTTCCTTCTCATCAAGCGATGAACCACACCAATTAACCTTTTTGAAGCTGTTTTCCACATTACCGATTTCGTCGTCGTAGAAGTGAATTAATGGTTTAGTTCCGTTCACATCTATTTCAGCAGCACATACGCAAACGCATAAGTTACTTTATTTTTCTATCATTCATCATTAATTCTTTAAGATAATTACTTCATTTTGTTATGAAGATTGAGAAATGACAGTTCAATAAAGAAAATTCTCTTTCGATGAGTCATTTTCAAAAGTTATACAATCGTAGTTGTAGTTACAACAAAATGGATAGATACAAGGTCATCGGAAAAGGTCAGTAAAGTCATCAGGTGATGATGGGTAGAAGGTCAATCCAAGGTCATCAAACGTGAAAAAAGATTACTCACAAAATTACACATAAACACCTAATAATTAAATAAATAAAATGATCAAGATAGAATTAGAGACTGAACGTATACCTTTTGACGGTAAACATCAGACTTGAAACGCTGAATTATCAAAGCAAATAAGCACTTCTATCGAAATATTTCATTTCACTTTGAAGGAAGACTCTGATGGGGGTAAAGTGACCAAAGTTAGCCAAATGCTTAGGAATCGTGCTGTTAATCACTTTACACTGTCCTTCAGACAGCTATACACAGATACTTTTGTATAGAACAGGTTTTGTGAGGCCTAATGTAGCCAAATCCACAAGAGCAAGTCAATTGGTAAACACATACGAAGGTGACGATAGTTTATTCTTCATACACCGTTGAATCAGTTGTTGACTGTAGAAAACAATCCAAAAATGGGCTACAAGTTGCTACATAAATAGATGTAGTTAGGAAAAACAAAAATTAAGATCCAGAATTTCACTCTAGCACTCATTGGTGATTAACTTCGAGACCAGCTGAGATGAGAACAGTTACTCAACGATGACATTGGATGTAGGTTGCGCTATATCGTGAACTAACAGATGCAAGAAATGTGAACCACTGGATTCCGACTCACTGACTCAATGGTAACGTGTGGGTCATGGAACCTGAATATCCTGGTCTCGATCTCTTGGGAGTGGGGTGAAGGTTGTAGGTGCTCACTGCTGAAAAGCCCTATGCCAGGACGAAACAGATGTTGAGTGCCCCCAGGTTTCTAATGTTTCTCCAATAGATATCAGTCCATGATGAATTCCAATCTCAAATCAATTCATAAATCTCTATAAACCATTAATGTCAGTCGCATCATAGTCAGCTTAAACGGCAATATCCCAGATACGGGCAATTCATATAAACATTTTATTCTATATTTTCCATGATAGCAGTTGTAACAGTTATATCCTTGTAGTCATTAATCAATACAATCAATCGATACATGTTTCCTGTATTTTTTTCTCTATACAATCCGTATTAATTATTTACTTGGCAAAGCATAGCAAATAAACTTATAATGCATGTTTATTTTCTAGAATTATAACTGAAGTGTCAAACCTTCGAGTTATTCATTTAGTTCACTGATATAGAGGTGTACAATGTATATCATGAGAGAGTAAAAAATCTTCGTTTTTCTTTCCTGTTGAACAATTCAGTTATATACTCTTAGGTTATTCAGGTTGTGATGAATACTAACCTGAAATAAATAAATAAATGCCCACAAACCTCTATTTTAGTGCTCATCAATGAGTGACTTGGTTCGAGATGACATTCCTGAAGTTCTAATGACAGGTTGTAACCGGTGGAAGTAACCAAGTTGGATATGAAGACAGTTTCTCAGCAACAGTATTAGATGAAGGTCATGCTATATCTTGAATTGATAGTAGTAGGGAAGTATGGATCACTGAATTCCTACAGAGTGGCTCAATGATAACGCACCGACTATGAAATCTGAGGGTGTCAAGAATGCACACTATTGAGGAGTCCGATAGACTAGGACAAAACAGCTGTCTCATGCTCCCATGATTTCAAATGCTAGCCCCGACTGATGTCAATCCGTGATGAATTCAGGTATTTTATTCACTTTATATTCCAGTCTAGGCTACTAAAGGGAAATAAAATCCAGGTAAGACAAGACAAGCTATTGGTGAAACGTGAAATAGAAAACTTAATGTAATTATTCATTTTCTTCCATTTGTAAAATTATCTTCTTTCATGTATAGTAAATAAAACGCAGCAACTCATCCTTACTGCCTAGATTTATGTGCTAAGACCATCGAGTTACATGTATACAGCTGATTTTCAAAATGTTATCATCATCATCACGATCATCATCTATCAACATAGGGCCACACATTATACTACGTAACTGTCCGACTTGCCACACCTCATCTCATCTCATCTCATATCACCACATCAAGTAAAACCACAGTCAACTGGAACATGAAAATAACAAAATTCAGTCAAAACTAATATAAACCACTCAATCAGAGAGAGGAAGAATGAGAAAATAGTGAGATTCGAGATAGAGTCGTTAACATGAGGATAATGTGTGTATACATCTACACCACTAACACTGGGTTCTCAGTCATGTCATCACCATCACCTACAGTCTCAAACAACCCCTTCCTCTTCTCCCACCAACCCCAACCACTCACTCTACATCACCACACATGGCTCAAACAAACAGGCATACAATTCATATATTGGTGTGATGTTTTAGTCTGGCCACCTTGGGTCTTTCTCCACCCTCAACCTACTTCAACCAACACTGTGTGATGAGACAGTTGGTGACTAGGCATACATAACACATGTTGGAGTCAACCATCTCAATGGATGAAGGTTCACAACCTGATCAACTGATTTACCTCTTCTCCTGGTGGTGTTGGTGTTGGTCAAACACCTGAAGCCACCTCACATCTTCCACCTTCAATGGCCATGTTTCACAGTCATAGAGTAGAACAGAGTGAGTTGACTGTTGTGCAGTACATGCCACTGTGAATAGACAATCGGATATGACGGTGGCAACACAGATGGCGTAAGTTGTCGAAAGTCAACCGAGTCTTTTGTATTCGTGCAGATATTTCATTGGTGAGTGAGCCGTGAGGGTAGGGCTGATCTTACTTTCCAGGTAAGTGTATTGGTCGACACAGTCAAACAGTAAGTACACTCACTGTCTGTCTATTGTTATCCGTGGTGGGGTACCGTTGAAGACCAATTGATTGTGGATGAACAATTTGTATTTGGGTGGTGAGAAACGCGTCTTCAACATTGTCAAATTGCCACTCATGGTGTTCAGAATACTGCCTGTTGTCAGCATCTTCACCTGACAGGACTATGTCATCTGCGTATTGTTGGTGTAACGAAAATGGTGCCACGATTAGGTGAACATCTGTGTAATCAGGTGACGAAAGGGAAGCCTCCATTGAGAATATCTATGACAGAATTGAATAAGAATGGAGAGAGTGTGCAGCCTTGGTGGACACCACTGTATGAGTACAGTTTCCAGGATATCTGACGATTGGCTGTAACACGCCCACAAGTGTTTGAGTAGAGAGTCTTCAATAGGGTGATGTAGTTACTGGGGAATCCTTTTAGTGAGAGACATTACCGTGTGATTTGTCTATCAAGGTAGGTAGTGAGATACCACTTTCAGGCGGAGAAATGTATTTGTTGTCGGGTGGCTGTAAGCATGCCTGTGTCCTAGAACTTGGCACAGTGTGAATATTTGGATGTATCAACCAAATATTCACACTGTGCCAGGATTTTTTAACCTTGCACTTCATACTTTTGACTCTGGTGTCAACAACGCATATGGTTAACCTTTCAAGAGATGAGTATCCCGTAGAGTATTTCAATTTATGGTAATCAGTGCGAAAGTCAGAGGCATTATCACTAAGGTATTTAAACCGTCGCTGCCACTTTATGGGTCTACATTACCTGTATGATGTAGTTTAGTTATCAGATAATCACTCTCTACTCCTAAGTATCGAATCAAATAGAAATTCCTCGAAGAACTTGGAACATATTCATGCAGAAGGTAATGTAATGATGGCTAATGATACTACGTCGCTGATAAAATCTCAGCAGACGGAGCGAGGTTGGTAACCAATGCACCACGACTCCACCTATCTAAATATCAGAAAGTATGCTATAGTCTCCTAAGAGGTTCTGTTCCCTGCAGAAGCCAAGTGAGAAAGTTGTGTAATTATTTTGACATGATTGTTGACCACATCTTTGAAAATGTTACCTAACAGACAAACTAACACTAACTATGCTTGCGTGAGGATCCAGTTGAATGATAATATATAATCTCTCTGGTGCTCAATGGTCGTTAATTTGATTCTGTATATGGTGAAGTTTGCGCAGTACTGAGGTGTTTAACACGATGACAATTAGTTGCTGCTTGATACTTGTAATCTCTCATTGCTATGCAGAGTCGAATTGTTTGACTTCTGTTGGCTCCAGTGCGGGTACCTGTATATGATGCGCACTTCGCCTTATTTGGGACTTATCAGCTAGATGTACAATATCACTTACTTGGGTGCAGGCACATTCAGCTGACGAACCTGAAATAGGATGAAACATACGTCCTGGATTCCAATAAGAGTTATCAAGATGAATACACGATGAAGATTTATCATGCCTACTGCCGTTCGGTTTATTACTCAATCAGCTAACCTTATATATGTATTCGTGCAGTTGGCAATAAACGACACCTGTATACTGTGAAGCCTAGTGATACTACTACGGGCTTTCCAAGTCTCGGTCAGTGAAAATCGTGATGTTCGACCAACTGACTGGAAGATGACACTATTACTATGGAAATATCGATTAGACTGTACTGTACTGTTAAGCTATGCATTTAACGCATTGCTTAGCTCGTTTAATTTTTCTACAGTTTTTGTACTAATAATGAAAAAATCTGTTTCACAGTCTATTCATTTTAATTCGTTTTCTTGTTTCTTCTGTGTGTGTGTGAGTGTGTGTTTGTGCGCGCATGTGGACAGCAGTGGAAGGGTAGATAGACCAATCTATCCTCTTTTCTGTAAGACAACGTTCTTCTAGCATGAGCACTCTTAGGAGTTTGCATTAATGTTTATCGATAAACACAGGTTTTTATCGTATGATCTATTCACAGGACATTTGTAAAGGGAAAATATATATACTTATTGCGTCTCTGACTATTCATCTTTTCACATTGTATCTCTTTCTACTCATATTTTATGACAGAAAAGTTGAGTGTAAGATGAAGAAATGGACTAATTGGGAGGTTTACTCGGTGTATATGTGAGTATCGGTGTGTGTGTGTGTGTGTGTGTGTGTGTGTGTGTGTGTGTATGTATGTTAGACAGGGAACAGGTTTAGTGTTTTTTGTAAGATTTTTGTTTCATGCTTGAAACAATTCTGTCATCATTGATTCTAATTAATTTGTGTACAGATTTGTCCAGAAAACTTTTTCCCCCGAGAAATGGAACAAGTAGAAAGAAAATATGGGGAATTGTGTGTCGATGAGGTGACATGTTACATGCATGTGTGTGTGCAATCCTCTGAATAATTTCTTTACAAGTTTATGCAAAAATCGAGAGTAGTTTCGTTTGAGATGTACTGAAGCATTATACAGACACGCCTAACTGGTAATTAAGAGTTAACGGCTCGGCAAGCTGCATCGACAGTGTATTCACATAATCTGTCAACAGTCTGAATTACCCTCGCCATCCTCCGCATTTGACGAAGGTGAAATGAGAATTTGGACCACGATCGGGTTCAAACCAGCGACCACTAGATTCCCGGCCCAGTGCTATACCAACTGAGCTACGACTGGTCTAACTGCTGACCAGATTTTCGCTTCACCCTTCAATCATCACCCAGGATCAATAACTAGCCTGCTGAACTACTGCTCTCTCACTCAGTCAAATGATAATCAATATGATTCTCCCCCCGCTCTAATTCACTTACATTTGAACTGAGACACTTTAAGTGGCAATTTGAGAATGTTGAAGACGCGTTTCTCACCACCCAAATACAAATTGTTCATCCACAATCAATTGGTCTTCAACGGTACCCCACCACGGATAACAATAGACAGACAGTGAGTGTACTTACTGTTTGACTGTGTCGACCAATACACTTACCTGGAAAGTAAGATCAGCCCTACCCTCACGGCTCACTCACCAATGAAATATCTGCACGAATACAAAAGACTCGGTTGACTTTCGACAACTTACGCCATCTGTGTTGCCACCGTCATATCCGATTGTCTATTCACAGTGGCATGTACTGCACAACAGTCAACTCACTCTGTTCTACTCTATGACTGTGAAACATGGCCATTGAAGGTGGAAGATGTGAGGTGGCTTCAGGTGTTTGACCAACACCAACACCACCAGGAGAAGAGGTAAATCAGTTGATCAGGTTGTGAACCTTCATCCATTGAGATGGTTGACTCCAACATGTGTTATGTATGCCTAGTCACCAACTGTCTCATCACACAGTGTTGGTTGAAGTAGGTTGAGGGTGGAGAAAGACCCAAGGTGGCCAGACTAAAACATCACACCAATATATGAATTGTATGCCTGTTTGTTTGAGCCATGTGTGGTGATGTAGAGTGAGTGGTTGGGGTTGGTGGGAGAAGAGGAAGGGGTTGTTTGAGACTGTAGGTGATGGTGATGACATGACTGAGAACCCAGTGTTACAGGTGTAGATGCATGCACATATTATCCTCATGTTAACGACTCTATCTCGAATCTCACTATTTTCTCATTCTTCCTCTCTCTGATTGAGTGGTTTATATTAGTTTTGACTGAATTTTGTTATTTTCATGTTCCAGTTGACTGTGTTTTTACTTGATGTGGTGATATGAGATGAGATGAGATGAGATGAGGTGTGGCAAGTTGGACGGTTACTTAATGATACCTGGTCGTATGTTGACTTGGATGATGATGACGTTTGGGCTGAGATGCAAAATCCTCGCTCCCCAGCCAGTGTGAATGCGATGAATCGATACTAACGCGTCGCAAATGCGCGTGGTAGTCGGTCAAAACCTGCTTTAGTGAGTGAAATGAAATAAATATCTGATCAGTAGTCGTACCTCGTAGCTGAGTTATAAGATCATAAAGTAGGAAATCCAGTGGTCTCTGTTTCGAATGCGGATGGGGTTCAAATTTTCATTTAGCTTCAATCACTACATTGTATCAGGACTAGTTTTCGAAATCATAACTGTCTCAGATATTCAAAAATGAAAATCGAATTCTCAAACAATTATCACTGCTTTGTACAAAAGATATTCTGTTCCAGCGTAATTATCAACTGTACTCGGCAACTGATGAAGTTGGTGTGGGTTCACCACCAGGACCTATCCTAACTGATATATTTATAGCTTATTTGGAACAAACACATCTGAATTATGCGATCAAGGAAACAACATATTACCGTAGACATATAGATGATACTTTCATTATTTGTGATCATATGAATCATGCGTCAAAGTTTTTCAACAACTCTACCCATAGCTATCCAAAGATGCATTTTTGTAATGAAATACGAAAATGAGGGTGGATTCGATTTTTTGGATTTGAGTATATAGTGGTGATTCAGTTGAGAAAACCATCTGCAGGAAAGACATATGGATCGGTCAGTGCCTTCACTACACTGATCAGGACACTCCCCACTACAGCAAGGATGCTATCATTGAAAAGAGAATGGATAATCGAAGAAATTCATTATAAAGCATGGAAACGAATTTATTGAGAGACCGTAACACGCAAAATGTTGAAAGGGTGATGAGACATCTGAAAGAAAAGAGAAGAAGCTTCACTGTGAGAAGGAGGTTTGCTGCTGCCAAACTGATCTCAGTTCACAAGATAGTTTACCCTATAACACATTCGAAAGTAGACAAATACCCAGCTCATGTCATCGCCAATTGTGTATATCAATGCACGTGTACTCATGGAGACAGTTACGTGGAAAGGACTGAAAGAAGGGCATCTATTCGATTTTGTGAACATATTCCGAAAAATCTATGTCTTAAAGGTGGCAAGATGTTTACTAGAGCAGTCGTCAGGCACCTGATGGAAACGGGAAATCAAAGAGATGTTTCTCAATCCTTCAAGATGACCAACAAAGAAAAAAAGTTGTGTTTATTACGGTTTGTGGAAGCTGTCACCATCAGACATTGTCCACCTGATCTATGTACTCAGAAAGAGACCATAACTTACATCTGTTTACCTTGTTAACTGTATAGTATAATCTTGCATATGTATGTAAACAGTTTTCCTTTGGATTGCATCATCTCATTGTTAATTACTTACTTACTGGTTGTAAAATCACCCTTTGCTAAACATTTTCCTATTTTTTCACATATTTACGTAGTTCACTAGCTCTTTGGCAACTCAATCAATTTATACTCTTGTTTGTTTGTTTGTTTGTTGTGTTCCCGCTTTACATAACTACAGAATTATTCGATCACATCAGATATAAATTGGCATTGATTTTGATTTGTGATTATTAATCCTAAATTTCGAATCTTCACCTATTTCTACATATTTAAAGCATATTGTGCGATTAATACTACTAATATTTCATTCTAATTGTAGGCTGTATGCAGCTGATGAAAGGCTGTGAAATAAAATGAGCTTATTTTGTTCTGGTAATGTCTTTTTTCTTGCTTTATTTAAATTTAATAAGGGAACTAAGTGTATGTTGAGTATACAATATTAACATTTGGCATAGAGTTGGTTTAACTAACTCACTGGCAATGAATTTGTGAACCTATACTAATTAATATGATGAGGTGTTGTATTGTACTCATCCATATTCATTGGATACGATGGCGTATAATGTATGCCACTTTTGCACCAGAATGTGTAACTGAATATTGTAAGTCCCCTTGGGGGGGGGGGGAATGGTGAGGTATGTTTTTGACTGTTCAATATTTCTTCAATCGGTGCAATTTCTGAACCAAAGCTCACTGTCTCCCACTGATTCACTCCATTGCAGTGAACAGTTAATGCTGTACAATTTTCTGGGGAGAATGTAGAACTTTCAGGCAGCATATAATTTAAATGGTTTGTTGTATGGAAAATCTTCTTTGACATGAGTCTTTTATAAACACGGACACTTTTAGTTAATTATATGGAAGCAGGCAACTGTTTGCGCAATACGTCACTGGACTGAAATTCTATTGGTTAAAATCAGTTCTTTGGGTTAGAGGTTGTGTAGAGCAAAATGTAAAGATGTACAACGTATAGGCTATTTATATATTGAAGAGAAAGTATGACAGAGATTTATGTGGAATTTACTGGTTGAACTCTCACCGTGATTCAGTCTTCCCCAACCACTCCTTCCACTTACCATTTAGATGTACTGTTTTGAAGTTTACCAGTCCCAAGTGAGACGAAATATATTTCATAGATTCTGCTACTAACCTTTCTCCCTCATTTATTTACTGCTATTTTCATTTCAAAATAGGTCGAATCACAAGTAAAGATGGTCGTGCACTTTGTTTAAAACTCAAAGACTGGCCAACTACAGATGATTTTGCTGAGTTACAACCGAAACGTTATTCAGATTTAATGTCAAATTTACCAATGCCAGATTATACACGACGTGATGGTCAACTGAATCTTGCAGCTAGACTGGCTTCCTTTTTTGTTTGTCCTGATTTAGGCCCTAAGTTATATGTGGCCTATGGAACTGTTGGTTCAAGTTCAGTAAGTTTCAGTAGTTTTGCCTGACTTGTAAACAGATATTTGTGAAAGTTACAATCAGATTGTTAAAGTTCATGTGTGTGTGTGTGTGTATGTATGTATGTATGTATGTGTGTGGTTGTGTTAGGACTTCTTGCTCATATTATACAGTTCATGTAACAGATTGTATACGATATCCTACTGAAAGCCCTGAAAGTAGATGAACTTTAGAAGCTCAATCGCGTTCACATTCCAGTCTATTTCATAAAACATTCGGTTGATGACAGTCTCCAGCCTTCCACGTCAATAACACAGTTACTCACCATTCGGCCTTGACTACGTTCTCCTAGTTGATTTGAGTTCGATCTCAATGATATTGGCATTGTACTTTCAAGCCTTCCATCTGTCTGTTAGCTTACCAGTCTGATTATCCAATTCCATAGGATGGTAAGTAAACTGGTGAAATGTATTAACTCATTCCTAATGGATAGTGACTGAAGGTGAAATGGAAATCTGGGCTGCGACAGGATTCGAACCAGCGACCACTGGATTCCGCGGCCTATCCTTTATCAACTGACCTACCAGACTTGACTGCTGACCAGATTTTTATTTCACTTCAATCATCAAGGTGGGTTTTATTCGACTGGCATGAGAATTCGCGCTACTGTCCAACTAGGACTTCTCATCCTGAATTAGAACAGGGAGCATCATACTGACTACAATTTTGAGTGTCGGGTCGAGACAGCCATGGTTTGGAAGACTCACATTATTGATGATGACGTACAATTGACTGTGAAGTGCAGGTCATGGGTTCGAACCCTGCTGCGGTCAAAATTTTTATTTGACCTTCAATCATCTTTCAGTACCAGTCATACAAGTCTGAAAATCCACTCAGAAATCTTGTACACATATTCATATGGTAGGGATTGAACCACACTTGTATAATGTGAGGGTTAATGATATTACTATATAGCTGCCAAAACGTTGGTAGATGGAGTGTGTTAAATTATGACTAGCTTAATGTCTGTTATCTATTTCTTATCTTTTAATACAACTAACATTCCAATTCAGAAGGATATAAATCAACGAAGTTAAAGGTCTGAGTTTCTGTTATCATTTTCTTTTCTAAAATTGATCGAAAACATAATTTATTATCATTGAAAATATGATGACATAATGATAATAGATTTGAAACAATCTGATTGGTTAAAAATTCTGTCTGATAGACAATATTCAAGTATATCTGAGTTCCTCTATTGCTGCATGTCTGCATTTACACTTCTTTGGAGAGGCGTATTGGTTTTTTACACCTTAGTCACAAAATGTAAAACGAGCGTGTTATACTAGTTGTCATTCTATGTATGGGAGATTTGGAAATATTTCAAGTTGTTATTCATCGTAGACTGACATCATTTGGGGGAACAAAGGAAACTTGGGAGCACTGGACAGCTGTTTCGTCCTATTATGGGACTCCTCAGTAGTGCACATCCACCACCCCGCCAGGGATCGAAGCCGCCACCTCCAGGTTCTGTGGCCAGCACGTTACCATTGAGCTAGCCACTGGGTCAGAATCCAGTGGTCCATATTTCCAACTTCTGTTAGCTCACGATATAGCACAACCGCCACCCAATGTCATCGTTGAGTATCTGTCCTCACGACCATCAGGCTTTGCCGCCACCGGTCACGTCTTCTCATTGGAACTACGGGAATACCTTTAGAAGCTAGTCACCAATGAGCACTAGTTGATTACCAAATTGGAAGATTTTTATCGAATGATTAGACATTCTTGTTTTGCCTGTGACCAATTCTTAAAGTCTTTGATCCTTTTGTATAACTTATCCAGACTTTTTCTTATGAGTGGTTTGCGGAAGCTCTTGATTTAGACTATTGTGTTTGTCCTAGAATTCACAGGTAACTGTTAAGCAATTCGATGACCTTACATAGAATTGTATAGCATTATGTGAACCAGATACTAGTACTAGGCGTTTACAGGTGATGTGTAGGTCTACCAGTCAGTCATTTGAATGTTCTCCAGTGAACTGGTTTACCTTTTCACCTGGAAACTATCTACTTGACTGAATATAACCATATACTGAAAGTGATTACTTCACGTTCGTTTTAGTCTTCTAACTTAGCGTAGAATGACACACAGACAAGTATTCATACAAGTGAATTGTCTCCATATTGTCTCTTGGTTTAATTTTAAAATAATAAAGGATAGTTAGTAGCAGTGGAGTTCAGGATTCATCAGCTAAATGTACCTGCCTCCCAGTGAGTGATGTTTTCCTCACTAGGACTCAAACCAAGAACCAATCGCTTCAAAGGTCACCAAGTTATGACAACAACTTCCTGGACTCCACTAGTAGCCATTATCCACCATTACTAAAAACCTTATATGTTGGTTTTAGACAGTGCTTAGTTGCTCAGACTGAAGTAGGAATAGGAGAGTTGGGTTCGAACCAAAGGCTCAATGATTTATTATAAAGTGCCCTCTAAGGGGATCACATTAACCTGTAAGCCTTGAAAGACTTCTATGACTTCTGTGAAATTAGATAATTAATTATTGTCAATACTTTGAATTTACTCTTCAGGTCAGTACAACTAATCTACATGTGGATATTGCTGATGCTGTCAATGTTATGCTGTATGTTGGACAGTCAACAGATTCTGTCAATGATATGTTATTAAATGCTGAGACAGTAATGAATACTTTAAAGTCTGCACATGTTGATATAAGCTATCTTGATAAAACTGTCAACTGGTTGAATAGAATCAAATCATATCAGAATACTGTTTGTAATAATCATAATATTCATGAAAGTGAATATGATGGTAAGATATTACATTTTACCACTACTTTTTTGATACATTAATTAACGTGGAATTGGTCTATAGTTGCTTAGGTGCCCAGCAGTTGGCTGTTAACAATGTAAACAGTACTTACATTGATGATGATGAGGAGGAATAGGCTTACGTCAAGCAATGTCGAAAGCTCTATAGAATGTAGAAAATCCTTTTAAAATAATTTTTATATCATGATAAGATTCATATTCAAGTTTTTTCAAGTACTTTAACTTTAAAGGATCCTATCAAGGTAGAACTTTAAGTTCTGAGTATATGCACCAATAAAATTGGTACCTTCTATATATGGTGAACGATAACAGTGGAAAGAAATAGAAAACTAGCTAGTCAACAGCTAAATGTCTTTCTGATGTATATTTCGTCTTCAAGTTGGTGTTCGTCATGGACTGATATTAATTAGAGAAAAATTGGAAACTTGGAAACATTAGACGGCCGTTTCATCCTAGTATGAGCTGTTCAGCATTGTCGCCCCACTAGGGGTCGAACTCACGACCTTCAGTTCTCGTGGTCAGCACGTTATCATTGAGCTATTCAATTGGATTCCAATAATCCATATTTTCTACATTTTTTCAGTTCATGATGCCGTCATTGAGTACCTATCCTCATGTTTGACTTGGTCACGATTTCTCATTAGAACTTCAGAAATCACCTCTCGAAGCTAGTCATTAATAAGTATATTTTATTGCATAATTTATAACAGTCCATGTTACTACAGTGCCTTAAAGTACTAAATGAAGTTGATATACGAAAAGAGACCTTTAGTGGTTATCGAATTTTTTGGAGTTAATTGTTTAACATTTTCAATCAGCTATCGACCACACAAATGTTGATATTTACGCCTTAATTTCCAGTTACTTGAAACTTTGAATTAAATGATTCTCAGTTTTACTGACATTCTATATTCTACCTAACTTATTATCATGTCTAGTTCCCTTCATCACTTTTAAACTGAGTAACAATAAGAAATTTTACATTATCAAATCAATTTATTGTACCCTTCCACCCTCGTCAATATTTGTTTCAGTTACTTGTCAAATAATATGAGCTAGTTATTAGAAATGAATAGTCAATCAGTCAGTATTAACATGGGATCACTGCGTAACCGTCCGAGTTGCCACAGCTCACTACAGTACATCAAGTAGAAAGGTAGTGAGGTGAAAGATGAAGATAAGAGAATGCAGTCAAAAGAAATATTAAGTAAGAGAAGAAAGAAAAGAGGAATGACAAAATGGTGAGATTCGGTATAGCGTCGTTAACATAAGGATAATGTGTGTATACATCTACACCACTAACATCACTTCTCAGCCATGTCATCACCATCACCATCACCTACAGTCTCAAACAACCCCTTCCTCTTCTCCCACCAACCCCAACCACACACTCTGCATCACCACACATGGCTCAAACAAACGGTGAGAGATTTCATACATTGGTGCCATGTTGTAGTCTGACCACCTCGAGCCTCGCTCCACCCTCAACCTACTTCAACCAACATTGTGTGATGAGACAGACGGCAATTAGGCATACGTAACACATGTCGGAGTCAACCATCTCAATGGATGAAGGTTCACAACCTGATCAACTGATTTACCTCTTCTCCCTCTAACTCTACACCACCTGACTTCTGCATTACTGATGTGGTGACACCATGGAATGCGGTGGCCTATACTACGAAGGTGGTGGTGTTGGTGGTGGTCAAACACTTCATTAGAAATGAACACCGGTTAGTCTATTTTTAAATAGGAACTTAGAAAATTTGGGGGATATAAAACTGATGGACAGAATATGGTTCAATATTTTAGGAAAAGAAATGTGATAACATGTTAAAAACCTTTGTTTTGAAGAAAATAATTGTTGAGGTCAAGTGGAGGGAGAAGAAGTAAAAAACGACGAAAGTGTAGGATTAAAAAGCATACAGATATACATTTAAATCAGCTTCATATAGTTACAATCCAGATAGAGGAAGCAGAGAAGATTTTCTACCAACTTCCATTTGAGATGGGTCCTATTGACTAAAGTGAACTTTACTGATGTTGTTTGATTGTTATTTTTAAGGAGTTTTGAATGCCAACTTCATTTTTAAACTGCAATCTATTGGTTCACAAACTGAACTTTCAATGAGTAGGTCACGGGTTCGAACCCCGGGCTGTATATTGAAGTTTAACCAACTAAGTAGTAGCATTAGTTTTAAACCAATAAACTTGTCTCACTATCTATTACACAAATTTTATGCTTTTAGGTAGTCTTCGATTAGTTGAATATAAATATACTGTGAAAAATTCTTCTGCATCATTCATGACTTTTTTTTTAGATATTCCTGGAGCATTATGGCATATATTTTTACCAGAGGATTTGACTGTACTACGTGAATTTCTATCTAGAGTGAGTGAAGATGAAACAGGTACATCAGCTGAATCAGGCAGTGATCCAATCCATGATCAATTATTTTATCTAGATCAACCATTATTAGATCGTTTATATGATTATATGGGAATTCAACCGTGTACAATTGTACAATTTCTTGGTGATGCTGTATTCATTCCAGCTGGAGCTGCTCATCAGGTAAAATAATTCTATTGAAAAATAACTATACAGTATTTTCGATCAGATTTCTTTGCTCCACTTCTTCATATGATACTGGACAGTTGGCTAGTGCACATGATAATGAGTAATTTGACAGTGTGTGTGTGTGTGTGTATGTTATCGCTCGTTTCCCTCGGAATTCTGATAACTCCGGTCATGAGACTAGTATTACTAACTTAAAGTGTTCTGCGGGGGTGGGGGCGGATAGACCGTAGCACATTATGCTGAATATCCGTCGTCTGATAGGTGACAAATTGTTCTAACATAGTTTATAAAATTGATGTGACAGTAAAAAATGATCGCAGGTCCCGAAGTCTGTATGATAATCTGAACTTCAGAGATTACTACTACTTTTAGTATACAATGTTGGCACTTATTGGCAAGAGGTATCTGGTACTAGTTAGGTGTATATTTCTTTACTCCATTTCAGTGTTGCATCATTTAACAAAATCCAGATTTTCAACACTAATTCAGTCAAGTCAGTGTTTCTATATGGTTCAGAAACTACAGACATACGTCATCAACAGCTGCCACCTACGCTTACTCGATACTGAAGATCAGATGGCCAGAAAGTATAAGCAACAAGGAACTCACTCTGGCTGGCTGGCAACGAACCAACCAAGAACACATCACCCAACAAATATGCAGAAGAAGGTTGAGATGGATTGGATTAGATATACAGTGGGAAAGAAGACGGTTTGGGGACATCACGCGTCAGGCCAGGTCGGGCCCTCGAGTCGAATTCGAATAGGAAACGACGAGTTGGGTGTCCGAAGTGAGGGTGACATGAAGGAGATAGCGTGGTGAAGAAATGAAAGGGTATGAGCAGTGGTGGATCCAGGTTAATGAGACTCCAGAGAATAGAGTGCAATGGAGACGAGCTACTGAAGCCGTGTGTTCCACTAGAAACCCAAGGGACATAATAATCATAATGAAATCAGTTAACCTTTTGGTAACGCTGAAAAATTCACTGACAGACTACCCTCCGGTTACTAGTTCATTGTAATTTAGGCCAATTTAAGTGTAAGCAAGCAAGCAAGCACACACATTTCCCATGCTACATTATGAAGCTCAGTAACTGAACATTAGAAAATTATATATTGTGCGGCTGATGAAACTTAGGTAGCTCAAGAGCTGTTTCTACACTTGAATCAATGATATATAAGTTTAATTTCCTAAACTAATAAATTGAAACTTCGATATGTTTCTTTAAAGATCTTTACTGCTAATTATTTGTGACAGCTGTATAGTTCAACTGAAATTTTGGATAAAATCTTTCATATTATCCATGATTTCCATCAAGGTTTTCGTTAAGATGTTAGTGAAACTTCAAATGACACAGGAACCCAGTGTAGAATTGTATCTATCATAAATCTACATTACGGCTTGAAGAAGCATTTATTTTTTCAAGTCACAAGGATTACACATCAGTTTGAAGGTTGCTTCAGATTTATGAATGAATGGTGGATGTGTAACATTTCGGAAGTTGAAAACAGAGCCTAACAACTATACATTAGCTCCCAGACTTCAGTTGTGTGACCAACTTACTTAAGTTTCTAATAACAACCTGAATTCAAATGATCTAACATCATGATTTATGCTGTTCAGTTCTCATTGATGTTGCAGGAAGAGAGAAAGAAAGAGAACGAGCTTTCATGAATGGCAAAGGTACGATCCAAGAAACACGATTGGAAGTTTATAATAAGCTATCTGACCTCACAACTCTTTATAGATGACAGATTTCCCGGATGTACCGCCCACTTTTAAATTCAATTACCTAAGCCAATGGTTATATTCCTATGAATTATTCTCAAGTAACCGCACCTCAAATCCTTCAGATAGTGCCGGTTCTTTCTCGTTCTTCTTCTTTGCAGAATCTACAGTTGCCAGCATTTTAGAGTTCTGTGAAGAAATGATGAAGTGGTGGATGACTGAATGCTTTGTATGCATGATTTGAGAACATTCTTTTCCGACTGATATGTTCATAGTCTTGAGGATCTGGTTGTAGTATACATTATTGGTCAGTTCTGACCCGGAGTGAAAGGTTTCAACCATTAGCCTATGGTTTCCATAGTCATGTCGGTTGACTTTCGACTATGAAACTGACTTCTAAACTAATCATGTCTAAAGAATGAACATTCGAATTAATGGTGTTGTTTGTAACTATATATTACTTGAGATAGTTCTGCCAACTGTTTGTCTGAAAATCCCTTCTATATGGTCACTTGATCTATGGATTTATTTTTGTATATTTGTACATTTTGAGTTTAGCTATCTGAAATCATTGTGTTTTGGTAGACTGAAATGAAATTCAAGGTGGTGGTAGAACCTAAACTCTTGGTTTCTGTTACCACCACTCTGCTCTACCAAGTAAGCTACCAGGCCCAGGTCGGAAACCTAGTGGTTACCGGTTCGAATCTTGTCGCACCTCATATTATCATTTCACCTTCAATTAGCCCTCAGTAACAAGAGATTTTGTCTGTTTATTTTTCTATGCGTGTACGTGTGTAATGGAGAGACAAACTGACAGAATAATTAGTCATGATTACAGATCACAATTGTGCATCTTTCGATGATATATTAGTGCCACAGAATCGGGTTTAGATGATACAAAATCATGAGTGGAACTAATTAGGCGATCAAGCCAACAGTAATGTTAAGAACTACAAGACTGAGATACAGGAAGGAGTGTTCATTATTGACATGTTGCACAGTAGTCATCAAATATTGTACACCTTGCACTAAGACAGTCATTTGCACAGTATGCTTCATTTCCTTTTCTGCTTCTATCTCGATTTGCTTTTAATACGTCGATATTGTCTCTTGCGTTTCTCTGTACAGAATCTTTACCCATTGCTGGTAATTGCCGATGATTTCTGCCGCCCACTCAACATTTACTACTTATATCCATTCTGATCAGCAGCGCCCACTATAGTTATACGCTAACTGCCTGTCGAGCAGCAAATATACTGTCTGACCAGGCATAAAATGTGGTAGTTGCTCTAAATGAATCCACATTACAGATCTTATATATGTGCTCACCGCTCAACTGTGCAGTCAGTGATGCTACCAGTGAACTACTACATGGATCTTGACTGATTGGTACGGTGTAAAGATGAATTGAGTACACTGATCATTCATCCAAAGTTTGTTTCTATTATTCTATATAATTCTTATCATCAGGTAGCTTCTATCAACTTCTGAAGTTCCCAGTACTGCTACTCAGTTGAAGTGACTCACATTTGTGCTGGTTTCAAGCTGTGAATACCATCTCTATTAAAGGGAATACAACTGTAGATCTATCTTGTCGCTAGTTACTGAGAATCATCGAGCCTAGTTGGAATATATTTTCCCGTTGGTTGATGTTATGTTTATCTTGGTGGCTAGCAATGAATGAAATGCAAGATGCGCGTTTCGTCCTATCTGAGACTCATCAGCCAGATGTACCTGCACCCCAGTACGTGTTGTTATTCCCTCTCAGACTCAGGACCAGTACTCACTGCGCTATCCACTAGGCCACTGATGCACGACAGCCACCCCTTATGCAAACAGTATCAGTTGTTATTTAGACGGTGGGGGCTCCTGTACCCCAGTGATCTAGTGGATAACCCCTTGGTATTTGAAGTGGTAGATATTGGGTTCACGTCTCAGTGGGGAAACCACCACTCAAAAAGGTCCGGATACATCCAGCCGACGAGTCCAGAACAGGACGAAAAGCGTGTCCTGGATTTTTCCGCTAGCCATCAAGCAGAGTATAACTGATACACCTGTTAGTTTTTCTTTGTGAAATTTACTTAACCCCTCATAATGTTGTATTTTCATTCCAATTTTTTTCCAATCAACTCTACAGGTTCGCAACTTGAATGGTTGTATTAAGGCAGCTGTGGATTTTGTCTCACCGGAACATTTACCTCAGTGTTTCCGGTTAATGGAAGAATTTCGTCAGTTATCACCTACACACCAAAATCATGAAGATAAATTACAAATTAAGAATATGCTGTTCCATGGAATCAAAGATGCATTATCAGTTCTATTGACTAGTGGCAGTTGTAGCGACGCCGACGTCAGTGATCGAGGTCGTAGTAATCAGAGTCAAGTCAGTTGTTGCAAGTCAGAGCCAAACTCTGACCAAAAACTGTCCCAACGTATAGACGGCTTTGATATACGAGCTAGATCCTCCTCTTCAACTGGTGTTGGTGATAGTCGAATGGTTTCAGACATTTCAGATGTAAAGATGGATATGGAATCAGAGACAATCCATCATAATTTACAGGGTTATGATACAAATACTCTGAAGCCGAATAATTCAAGAGGTGGACGATGCAGAGGTAGACCAGGAAGACCTAAAGCAGTGGACCTAGTCGGTAATCAGAGTATTAGGCCACATAGTTCATCGTCTGGTTCATCACCTTCTATTTCACCGAATCCAGTCTCTAATTCTCCCTCAATACCCAGTGTTCATAGTGTTGTTACTGGGAGCAGTAGCTATGGTGGTGGTGGTCCAGTGAACTCCAGTGCCCTATCAAGTTCTTTTAAAATTTCTTCAAAAGATTCAGTTTGTACACCATTTTCTACAGAGAAAATAAAAGATGTTAAGCCAAATATTATTATCACAGATTGTGATCGAATTCCTACTACTACTACTACTTCTTCTTCTGTCTCCATGTCCTCTTCATTGTGCACTTCTGCATCTAGTCCACCGGTGAATTCAGATGCATCACATATCTTATCCACCTGCTCCTTCCCATCATCATCCTCCTCTACCACATCCTCTTCATTGTCATCATCATCATCATCATCACTGTTGCAGCATCAATACCAACAACAGCCTCTTCAACAACACCAAAATGGTACTAGTCGTTTTCTGAATCTATCCAACATTGAACACTTATCATAATTATCCTTCTTTGAAGTATTGCCTGTTGTCAATATCTTCAGTCCAGATGCTCTAATAAACATATGTAAAATATGTTAAATTTTTCTTTTGAATAATACAAGTGGAAATCCACTTCTTATGCCTATCATGTGATTGTTTTACTATTAGATATCCTGTTTACACATTGAATTGCTTACGCGTTTATTGTTCCAGCTTTGTGCAAATACATATCTCAGTGTGTGGAAGAACAAAGAGTGAAGGGGGGGGGTGAAAGAGAACTGAACTCCAAAGAGGAAGAATTGGTTAGTTATCAGGGTTCCCAACTCCCATCATCTATATATCAAGATGACTACCTACTTGTACAACTAAGCAATACTGTTGTCTCTTGCCGTCTTGCGCCTATTCATTCATTCATCCATTCTTCTAAGTCAGGCACCATATTCAATGTGTTGTAAAAGAATATACTGAATATAATCCTTTGTATAGTCGATATATTTTTTGTTCATTGTTTTCTCTTCTTCCTGTTTTCTTCTTTTCATTCCTTCATTTTTTAAAACTTAATGGATTGTTGTATTTTGTCCAGCTTCTTCGTGTTTGCGTGTCTGTGTCGAGTTGCCCTGTCTGTTCTTCTTTTAGTCTAAGTTTTTCTCCCTCTTCTTGCATACACTGCAACACAGAAAATATACTATTGACAAATACTGTTATCAGTAGTATCAAGTGTTAAAACATTGTCATTCACACTACTCTATTCTTGTAGTATTTTGCACATATTTTCACACCCCGGTCATATTTATTAATTTGTGTGTGTATGCGTGTGTGAAAGAGAGGGGGGGGGATACTTTTCACCTTATTTGCATGGCACACAAGTGTGCGCATACACACGCATGTGCATGGAGATATTATCCGTAAGTTGGTTATTTCCCTTGTTGTTTTCTTCATGGTAATCTTTCTTACCTTCCTTCTTTGTTTGGTTATTTTGATTTGTGGTCACTTCTTTATAGATTCCAGGAGTACATATTGTTATTACTATTATTACTATTATTATTATGTAACCGAGATAGAACTGAATTATTCCTTAGGCAATTCTTCATACTTAATGCCACTTATGTCATATTTTACATAAATGTACTACATTCATGCATATATATATATAAGCCTATGCGTTTTTGTTTTTTATTCATTGTTTCTTCTACTGGCGAACTCATTTATGCGTGCACGAGTGCGTGTGTTTTCAAGACGTTAAGCTGTGGAAAAGTCATCCTTCTGGAACTGTTATGTAGCTAGATATGTTATGCTTTTTCAAGTTGGTATTCATCATGGACTCATATCAGTTAGGAAATTGGGGGAATTAGACAGCCGTTTCGTCCTGGTGTAGGACTCCTCAGCAGTGGGCACCTATGAATCTGCCCCACCCCGCTAGGGATCGAACCCTCCACCTTTGGGTTTCGTGGCCAGCACATCACCATTGAGTCACTGGATCGGAACTCAGTGGTCCATATTTTCAACTTCTGTCAGTTCACGATACAGCATGACCTACATTCAATGTGATCGTTGTGTAACTGTTTTCACGTCCGACTTGGTTTACTCCAGCGGTCACGACTTCAAATTGCCTCCAGGCTTTACATGTTCCTTCAACTGACGTCAGTTTATGATGACTACACCAACTTCAAATTAATCAATAAACCCCCAGCAACCCGCAAATCGTAATAAATAATGAACAGGATGTGAATCTTGTGGTTCGACTATTACTTCATAGTTTCTCTGATATGGATGTAAGGTATCCATCCATCCAAATCAACATAGTACCACACATTATGCTGCGTAACCGTCCAAGTTGTCACACCTCATCTCATGTCACCACATCAAGTAAAAACACAGGCAACTGGAAGATGAAAATAACAAAATTCAGTCAAAACTAATATAAACCACTCAATCAGAGAAAGGAAGAATGAGAAAATAATGAGATTCGAGATAGAGTCGTTAACATGAGGATAATGTGTGTATACATCTACACCACTAACATCACTCCTCAGCCATGTCATCACCATCACCATCACCTACAGTCTCAAACAACCCCTTCCTCTTCTCCCACCAACCCCAACCACACACTCTGTATCACCACACATGGCTCAAACAAACGGTGAGAGATTTCATACATTGGTGTGATGTTGTAGTCTGACCACCTCCAGCCTCTCTCCAACCTCAACCTACTTCAACCAACATTGTGTGATGAGACAGACGGCAATTAGGCATACGTAACACATGTCGGAGTCAACCATCTCAATGGATGAAGGTTCACAACCTGATCAACTGATTTACCTCTTCTCCTGGTGGTGGTGGTGGTGGTCAAACACCTGAAGTCACCTCACATCTTCCATCTTCAATGGCCATGTTTCACAGCCATAGAGTAGAACAGAGTGAGTTGACTGTTGTGCAGTACATGCCACTGTGAATAGACAATCGGATATGACGGTGGCAACACAGATGGCGTAAATTGTCGAAAGTCAACCGAGTCTTTTGTATTCGTGCAGATATTTCATTGGTGAGTGAGCCGTGAGGGTAGGGCTGATCTTACTTTCCAGGTAAGTGTATTGGTCGACACAGTCAAACAGTAAGTACACTCACTGTCTGTCTATTGTTATCCGTGGTGGGGTGCCGTTGAAGACCGATTGATTGTGGATGAACAATTTGTATTTGGGTGGTGAGAAACGCGTCTTCAACATTGTCAAATTGCCACTCATGGTGTTCAGAATACTGCCTGTTTTCAGCATCTTCACCTGACAGGACTATGTCATCTGTGTATTGTTGGTGTGACGAAAATTGTGCCACGATTAGGTGAACATCTGTGTAATCAGGTGACGAGAGGGAGACCTCCATGAGAAGACAAATCTAAGATGGGTATTGTGATCTGATGAACTGGTAAATGTCAACTTTTCTCCATACTGATGTGAATTGATAACTGAGTTTTGAAGTGGAATAGCGAAAATCAGGGTGACGAAGTGAGATAGTGAAACTAATCATCCAACGGGAGGAGTTTTGTTGTCAACCTTAGGTTTCTCCACCGATATGGTTGGTTACATGCCCATTACAGTGGAGTGAATCTATTCGTTGTTTATCTGCCTTTAGGTTTTAAAAATCTCTCACTATCTCTGCATGCTTGTGAACAGTGGGACAAGTAAGGAAAGTTTATTGAAGTTCATCAAATTAGTTGGGTAATTCCGATTTAGCATGGTCATTGACGAAATCACTGAATCCATAATGACCTGTCAAAACGGGTGTCTAGGAAGTTGGCTGGAGTTATTTGAACAACAGTTCAGCTGGCATAAAGGTACGTTTCAGTTGGTCAAGATTACACGAGTATGAATAGAATGTAGATGTTAGTCTTCCAATACTTTACAAAACTAGAAGGCCTTTTGAAAGCTGAAGTGCTAATGAAAGCAGGTAGACAGTTACTGAGTAGAGTAACAGAGGTGTTATTTACAGTATGGAAATTATAGGTAGTTTCTTCAGACTGGGGGCTGGAAACCAGTTTAACTAACATTATTTTCAACATCTTATGATCCGTTTTTCACGGACGTCCAACTGAAGCTAGAAAACAGCAAACTGGAGACAACCAGTTATGTTTCATACATGAACCGAGGATGCACCGATCCTATTTTCACCCTCTGACAGGTCCTGTACTACTGGAATAGATACCGGCGGTTGACACTTGCCACACTTACCCTCTTGAAGGTGGCATTCAGCTTTCCCGACTATGAGGTGTTTTGAGAGTATCTGACTGTGAAGGGAGTACGAAGCAAGTACATCATGCTTATTAAAGCTGTGTACTCATACTCATGCAGTCGTGTAACAACTTATGGAGAGAGTTGTCATGTAAACTGACGACAACTGATGGTGTTCACCAAGGATATCCACTATCACCATTCCTATTTAACTTCCTTATAGATGTATTAGGGGCATAACCATAGGTAAATCTGACTTCAATAGAATTGATCTACCCCATGGAGATCATCTGTCTGACTTGGAGTATTCAGACGATATTGTCCTGTTAAGTGAAGACTCTGACGCAATGCAACGTCTTGTGAGCGAGTCGAGAAGAAATCTGAGTATTTTGGGCATACGATTCGTACCTGTCAAGTGTAAGATGACGCTTCTAAGTAAGTCTGCAGCTACTCCCAGTTTGAATTGGTTGAATACTTTGGCCAATTCAAATAGTTGAGAGATTGCATCAGTCTGAACGGGCTGGTCGACAATGAGACAGATGCCAACTGACACTGTATCACAAAGTGACGGAAGTAGAGAAGTCTATGCCGTTAGTCAATGACTAAAAGGGAACACGCTGGTCTTCGACTCAATCTCTCATAGGGCATAGACTGTTGAACTGTAACAAACTAGGATGAGACACCTGTACAGTTCTCTCAGGTTTTGATGAAAAACTCTCATTCAAATATGTTGCATATACCTAATGAAGTTTAAGTTGTTAATAATATGTACTAGGATCTTAGTGTATGTTTGTGTGTATGTGGGAGGTGGTGTTCGGTTGGGTGGACGCATACGTAAGAGTTAATGTCACTGTATAATTGTCCAAAATGGATTTGAACACCTTATCCAATTGCTTAATTAGATCCAATTTCAATAATGTTCTAACCTAATTCGCCTACTATTCAAATCGATTGATTATTCTTTAATCGATATCGATTATCGATCAACATCAGACATATTTAGTCAATTATACATGAAATAATTTAAGTGAATGAAATCTTTAAGTATATGTGAAAACATTAAGTATTTATGACCTCCGTATGAAAAATGTAAGCGAAAAAAAAATTGATAAAAGACAAAACATGTGATCATCTATATTTGCATGTAATTCTATGTAATATTATTATTTATGTCGTTATGCTCTTTGCTGTTCACATCACATGTTCTACGTCTAATCTGTAATCTGAAACACGTGCAAAAGATGGAATGTCATCGATACGAACGTGTGTGTGTGTGTGAAAGTAAATTTATTTTGACAATCATTAGCTAAGAAAAGCTACATATCAGGACCGATATGTAGATGATACGTTTACAGTACTGAAATAGGAACACATCAATAGGTAGGTTCTTGGCATATATAAATTCAGTAGTGAATGCAATCCAGTTTACCTGTGAAGGTGAGCTAGTGATGTTGGGTTGCAAGATTAAACGAACACAAGACGGAAGCTTAGAGACTAGTGTCTATAGGAAACCTATCCATTCGAATCGCTACTTCGACTTCAAATCCCCCCCCCCACCCCATTTCAGTTAAAGTAGACCTAGTTAAATGCTTAAGTGATAGAGCGAAAAAGCTTACTAGTAGATGGGAAAATCTGCGACAAGAAATTAGACACATCAAGAACACCTTACGTCTCAATAATTATCCACCGAAATTTATGAATAAATTCATAAGAAATTGAAAGAAAAACAGTAGCAGTGGTAGTATTAGTAGTATAGGTGTTATTAATAATAATCCCACTACTAATGATAATAGTGGTGACAGTGTTAAGACAGAATTCACAGCCTCTGTTGTGTTACCATACAAGGAAGGCACCTCAGAAGCATCACGAAGAATTCTCAATAAGACTGGCTGGAATTACAGTGCCTGGCATTTAAACCAACAAACTCACTTACAAACAAGCTTTTGTAGGTTAAAAGATCTCATTGATGCAATTAGGCTAAATAATTTGGCTTGTCATGTCTCTTGCAATGATTGTGAGGTCAAGTATATAGGTCAAAGCAGTCGACCAGGGTCGATTAGAATAACAGAGCACAAAAACTTAGTTAAATCAAGATTAGTAGATCCTAATAAGGGAAGAAATCTAGAGAAAAACTCGACTATAGCTCTGCATGAGATGACACACAATCACACGGTAGGGTGAGATAAGGCGACAGTTTTGAAAACTAACTTAGTTGGGTGGACGTAGAGATTGATAACCAAATTTTTGTTTATCGAATCAACACCAAACACATGCAATCGAGATGATGCTGCACCTGTCGCAGATACATGGAAAATTCTACTACCCTTGTCATCACAGAGAAGGAGAGAAAAATGGGAATATATGAAGACTGTCTCGAAGTTGTGGAGTTACCTGATATGGATGCGGACAATAAATTATGTCCGAAACGTTATCCAGTAAATACTACTGTTTCA